AACGAGCCAAAAAAAAAAAAAAAGTCCACTAATAACGGCGCCTCCAGCCGGTCTGCGTCTAGGGCCGGGCCAAGATGCGCAAAACAGGGTAGAAAGTCGAGCACCAAATCTCAGAGGCGTCGCACGGACTGGACGGGCTGGCTGGCTTGCCTTTTTTGCTAGGCTCGACGGGGAACTGAAAAAAACCAAGAGGGACGACGCGAGGCGAGATGGTGTCCATCGGGGCTGAAGCCCAAAGAAAGAGGCGCGATGTCGCTAGGCCCCCGGCTTTGGCTGGACGAGTATGTATAAGTGAGAGACCAGCGCGGGCTTTGGAATACTAATCTTGCGGAAGCTATCAAGGTTACAGTAACTCGTCAATAGAGTGAGAGGAGCACATGGCAATAGACTCGTTTTGTCGGCTCTAGCTCCAAGAAGGGCCGGTTGACAGGCAGGCTGGGCTGCAGTAGCTGATAGAAGCCATCTGTCTTGGCTGTCTTGGAAGACATGTTGGGAGCAACTAGCTGATGATTCTTACGTGGGCAGCGTCTCTTGGAAACCTCGCTTGGCGCTCTCAGCAATTCAATGGTCAACCTTGCTTGCAGCATCTCAGCCACGGAACATGCTCCGGAGGACGCACTAGCAGAGGCCAGGGGGGTCCCGTCCTGCTGGCCAGATGACCATCTCAATGGCACTACGAGCGATGGATGATGGCTCTACTGTAGAGTCTAGCTGGACTAAGACCAACGTGAGGGAAACTCCCAAGCCAAGCTAGAAGAAAAAAAAAAAGATAATCTATCGTGCAGTACCTCCGCGTGGCAACATTGCATTCAAACATCGCGCCCTTGTTTTTTGGGCTGTTGTTACTGTACCACATGGCGGCCAATTCGAAGGGTCCATGAACCCAAATCACAATTTACCCACAGGCATAATGGATACGGGTCGCCGTCTAATATCAACCCAAGCTCCGTACTCCTGCGTCTCCGGCGACTAAAGAGAAAATAGCAAGAGTGATCTACCTACCACTAACACGCTTCCCACTCGAGCTTCGTAAAAGAACGAATAACCAATCTAGTTTCCTATCAGACGGGCCCCCTTGTCATCCTCTTCTTCTCTCTCTTACTGTCTTCTTTTTTTTTTCTTCACATGTGTCCGGGATTATTATTACAAAGCAAACCAGCAAACCCCCCAAAACAGCTGAATCAAGAAAGCGACAAATGCCCAAAGTCCATGGACTTTCCACATGGTATCATGTTTCCGCCTTTGTTGGCCCCCCCGGAGAGTTGCAATCCCCTCTCGGTTTTCCCTTTGGAAAGACAAGCCCCTCTCTTCTCCTCCATCCACTTTTGGCATACAGTACGGAGACACCTTTTTTCTTTGCTCTGCCGGGGGATTCACGCCCCTCCCCTGACGTCGTGTCTTTTTTTGTTCCTTTCTGTGACTCTTATTTCGAGTCGTGTTTTCCGTTTTGGCTATTTATTTTTTCCCGTCTCGGTGGAGAGAACAGAGTGGAGAAATTCTTTTTTTTCCTTTCCTTTTTTCTTTGTTCCCACCCTCGTAACGGTGCATCTTGCCGCTACTATACTACTATTACTACTTTACTGTAAATTCTTCCCGTCAGAATAGGTTCGCTCGCGTTTCATCTCTGCTGCAAGTCAGCACCTAAAAAGACATTGGAATACACGCACACAACGAGAGAGAGAGCTAGTCCGGGACCTCGGCACGACTTTTCAAGGGCGGCACTCCGACCCTACGGCATATTTAGAGAAAAAAAGAAAGCCTTTTTTATGGAGGCCGTTTGTGTGTTTCATTCTAGTTTAATCTTTTTTTTGTCCTTTTTCTTTTTGGTAAGGCTAAACCAGTTTCATGCTCCTTTGTGCAAGGGGGTGGAACAAGACGGAGACACAAAAAAAGGAGGTAAAAGACACCACCAAAGACAAGCACGTTAACCGCGATTAGCTCGCCAGCTGAAAAATCCGCAGAGTTGAGTTTAAAGAACCCCAGAGCAAACGTACACATGTACAGTAAGAAAAAGGGTTGGAACTCGCCGAGGTTGCTTATTCCTGCTTAGTCCTTTTTTCTCCTGCAGCCCAGCCCGGCCTTGCAGTGTTGCATCCGCCGGCCACATGTCTGTATGTATGTGTGTATGTATGTAGCAAAGCACATACAGGCATTCTTTTCCTCTTTGCGTTGCAGAAGAGACCAAAGGGGTGGGAAAGGGTTTGCCGCCATGATACGCCAACACGCGACTGTTCCTGATTTTTTCTCCGTTCAGGAAGGGCAAAAATAAAAAAAGGTATACGGGATGCTGGTTGCATGGGGGGGTGTGTTTTTGCCCAGCCTTTTTGACGTGCGGAGTCTCGGATCGTCTTTCTGACAAGTTTTGCCTTATTATGTGTGGTGATGGAACGCGGGTCGACTTTTGGCTTTTGAGTCTCCAGCAGGCCGGTAAGATGCAATGGAACCGTCCCACGACCAACAGCACATCAATCTGCGATGATTAACCCTCCCCTCCTCCTCTCAAAGCAGAACCAACAGCAGCAGAAAAGAAAAAGAGAGGCTCGGACCGGGCCCCCTTTCGGTATCCCCGGTCCAAAAAACCCTCTTTTTGTTCTTCTCCCATCCCACACACCCCCCCCAGCTTGCGACTCTGCGACTCTAATACCTACGCAACACAACCAACAGCATTTCTGGAGGTGCTTTTTGTTCCCTCGCCTTTTGGGCTTTTCGTTGTTTTCAATGTACTCGTATCTGCCTAACCAACTTCCCAACCGCAAGCCCCCCCCCCCCCCCCCCAGTGCCGGATCCCGAGGAGCTGGTCCCGATCCCTCCGTTCCCAGCTCTTTATTTTAGTTTCGAGGTGCCTTTCGGCTTCGGCTTTCGTAACCCCCTGGTTTGCTGGTTGCTGCTCTCCCCAAAGATTCTCAGCTTCAAGCTCCTTCCTCTCTGTGTTTGATGCTCGCAGCGTCCGAGCGCGCAAAGGTAATGTTCGTTCGATCAACGACCCTGTAAAGAAGGATTTCCGTTCCCTGCAGCCTCCCTCCTCCCACCCCGGCAGCGCCGATTTCTTCGGCATCAGAGCTTCTTCTTTCCGCCTCCAGGCTTCCTTTTAAACGATTTTCGTATCGCAATGGGTGTTGTTAATCTCCTCGTTTATTCCCACCTGTAGATATCCTCATGTCCACCATACCGAGCGGGCAGATTCCGAAGGGCGTTTCTCTCCACAGTTTCACGTTGCAATGTAACAAGTCGAGTTTTCCCTTATCCTAGGTACCCTTTCATGCCGCCGTCGCGATCTCGCAAGTGTCGGTGTACATACTCGTAACTTTTGCTGTGTGCTCCGTTCCCGTTCCCGTACTTTGCAACCTTGTAATCAGAATTCGCCCGTTCCATCAAACCCAACTGCAGCAGGCTTTCTGACATAACGAGGAGAGAGGGCTGACGAGGTATCCGGAAAGCCCGCGTGTATAGTATGCATCATTCTCGGGATATTCTCCGTTCGTTCTCATCGCATCATCGTTGCCTCATCTCATACTCATACATCGAATTCGCATTCGCCTTTTCGCACTCTGTCGGAGCTCCGAACTCCCCTTTCCCGCCCCAAACGTGATCGGAGTATGGACTTCTTTCTGCGCTCTCTCGCAGTCTATTTTTCCCTTTTTCGACGCTCGCTGCCGAACACCATGAATCCATCGCGCACATACAAGGCCGGAATATACGCATCCCCGTGTCCTTGTCCTTGTTCAACACCAACACACAGACTCGATTGGACCCCCTCCTCAAAAGGCCCGCGGACCCTCCATCAGCCTCACTGGGAACCTTGTCCCGTGGGTTCTTGAATAAAGAACCTGGTCCCCCGAAAACGTGCAGCAGCCACACCCTTCCACCTCGCTGGAATTCCGTCCAAGACACGTCAAAAGAAATCTAGTGCGGCCCCCCATAACCCGTTTTCCTCCTCGCCAGCCACCAAAATAGTCCAGGCAAATCATGAGCGTCCGTCGGGTTGGACTGAGAGAGCATCATGCATACGGTATATGGCACCGTAAAACCACATGTACGGCTGCATGCAAACACACGCTGTTTGTATGGCCTGTGTTTCCCCAAGACATCCCATTTCCCCCCTCCCTCCAGCCACCTGTGAAACAAAAAAAAGCAACATTCCACGCGAGAGAAACGCTAGACATACAGCATGCTTCCATACCTCCAATCATCCGCCCCCTTCTATCCGAACAGCTTCCAACATGCATAAACTCCAAGACAAAAGATCCCCAAAATACCCCCCTCTAGAACATCCGACTCTGCATGTCTGCGTCATTTTGCCAACTATCCGCATTCCATGGCGTTCCTAACCTCGGTAGCCCATCACGCACGTGTCTCCTGCGTTTTGATTCACATGCCCTTGTGTACGACATGAGGCTGCAGAGCGCGTTCCGTTGGCTTCACGCTCCCGTTGTCATGCTCCCTCGGACCCTGAGACTCTGCCCGTTGACTTCCCCAGGCATTGCCCTTGTCTGGTACACCATCAATTCGTCTCGGTCATCGTCCTTTCGTCTTCGTCGACCCGCTCCTCTTCATCGGGACCCTCCTGATCAGCACCCCGCAAACCCTTGCTCGGCAGATCACTTCGCCACCATCGCAGGTTCCTTTACGCAGTGACACATGCATATCTTTCCAGTCACTTGCCACTGCAAGTCTGATTCGTCTGGATATGATTCAATCAAAGCCGAAGTGGCGAATGAGAGTGCCGGCCACGTGCCGAATATCCACCCCGTAAGAGCATTATCTGTATCACAGTATCATGGACACGGCATCGAGTATCAAATGTTTTTGGTAGCTAAATCGTCAATGTTAATGAACTCTCAAGACATTACGTACATTACTTTGTGGTAAAACCACCATGATGCAAATACCGTCGTTAATAGACTCCCAAAATTCCCTGCGACATTACCAACCCACAGTTCCATCTCCGTGCCCTCCTGACCTGAGATACTCGAACATGTAGAAACGCCTGCATCCTTTGGCTACTCCCATACTGTTAACCTCAAAGTTGGTTGACCCCATTCCGGGAATTCAACATCGCTCCCAGGCAATCGCACCCTACTGCTGCTGATGCCAATGTAGAGCCCCATCACCTGCTCTGGCTCGACCTCCTTGTTATCAATGCTGGCAATACGAAAGTGTAGAGTCTTTTGAAGAAACGGCACCACCGAGCTTGGCTCAGTATCTTGGAGCGCTTCTAGGTCAACAAGCCTCATCAATGCCATGGTCAACGGTACTGTCCCCGAGATTTTGGAATGGGAGCCGCTCATTCCGCTCATGGTGAAGATTCCAACTGATCCTATGAGATTTGGAGCAATCCCCCAAGTGCTAGCATCCTCTGGTGGCTGACCGGCAAACAAGTAAATGCTGAATGATCCGTCCAAGGCCCCGTGGTTCACATATACATTTGTGATCCATTCTGTGTAATGGCCATCTGCTGCATTGTTCGTCGCGTCCGCTTTAAGGCTGGGCTGAAAGCCCTTGACACTTGGATTGCCCTTCCATAACCCGCTTGGCCGCCGTTGTGCCTGACTCTTGACCCGAATCATGGCTGGGCTGTTCTTCCCAAGCCATTTGTTGATCTTCCTGATCAACTTGTTTCGCGGGCTCTCGCTGTCTCCAGGCAGAGCTGACGAGTCTCCGTATGCGTAGCCAAACACTTCAGTGGTCCTAGACATGTCGGAATCCCAGAACGTGCCGTCGGCAGAAGACATGAAGGGCGTAAGGGGCGTGCTGGAGTTTTGCATGGTTCCTTTCAACGCAGTGTACGTGGCCTCTCCTGATACTTGAGGTGTTATCCATGCCGTGGGATTGAGAAGCTGCCACATTGATATCAACCTGTCTGTCATGGCGTGATGCAAGAAGAAGAGCGGATCAAAGGAAGATAGAGGAACATAGGTCATATGCCCCCTGGAGCCTCCATATATGTGAATAATGTCGTGAACGGCCTCGATGGAGTCCAGATGGCTGAGATTCTGAGAGGCGGCGTAATTCTTGTTGCTAAATGAATCGAACTCGTGATAGCTAGAAAAGAGTATGTATAAACGCTGCTGTATCTCTGGTAACTTGGCGAGCAAAGCAGAGTTCACTTGGTCGTTCATCGAAGGGGGCTCCAGCTCACTAATGTCGGTGTTTGGAGCTCGCTTTGTCTCATTCCAGCTACTCAGCTGTGAATTATTAGTAGCTGATGAGTTTTACGTCGCCATTTGTTCACACGCACCGGGGGCCAGATGAGTGCCTCTGCATCCAACGGATGAAACGAGTACGAGTACAAAGGGTTACGAATGACTTGAACGCCATTGGGACCGTATTGAGCCATTGTAGAATTCCAAAAGACATCTGGGAAGTGGCTTTGGCCAGGCGGTGCGGGAGATGCCCAATCCCAGTATGGTATTCGAAAGTCCGATGCAGCTTGCATATATAGCAAGCGTTCGGTGACATTGGTAAACATGCGGGAAATAGCATCGGCAAGCTTGAACAGCTCTTGCTGTAGATGAGATTTAGTATCTCCTCCCGAGAATGGCATACGAGTTGTGCCGAGACCGGCTGTCTGGATCTGAGAATGGCTCACCTCGTACAGGGCAAGATATGGCCGGTGCCACGTTGGAAATAAGACTGAACTATGTGGACAGTAACCTGACTGGCTCGCTCCTGCTGCTGGTCCAACGCCATTCCATGTCACGAAGGGCACACCATGTATCCCTAAACCCAGAGCAATGCGTTAGAGGAGCGAAGGCAAAGACATTTCGATCATAGTCTCACTCACCGGCAACCTGGTAATACGACAGGGGATCGCTCTGACTGACTGACTGAAACATACTCAGAGCCAGAATGAACAGATCCCACTTGCGTTTGTCTGCCTTCATGTCGCGAACTTCGAGCCTCAGGGGTGTGCTCCCGTTGGAGGCCAATGGGAGGCGACTGACGACGATGGGAGCATTTGGATCCTGTCGACGAGTGAGAGACACCACGTCGACACCAAAGTCGTAATCCTGGGCAGACACTAGAGAGATGAGAAAGTTCAAGACCCAGCTGAGGCAGATGAGGAAGCGCATGGCTGTGTTGGGCTGCTTGTCGTTCCAGACTCGATTATAAGGGGTTGCTGAGCTTGGCGCCTATGCGCAAATGCTGGTTCAAGCTCGCCAATGTGCCGACAGTGTCGAGGTCTGATTGGTGGGGAGAGAATGAGAGATGGTGGGAGAGAATAAATGACGAAAACGAGAGGTAACGGTGCTGATGACTGTTTGCCGTCTCGTGCCAAAAGATGGAAATAGCGAGAGTGAAGTGAGTCTTGTGAATTGAAGGCCAAGATACGGGAGACGAGGCCAAAAAGAGAAAGCGGCCAAGTGATGTCCGATTGAACGAATACGCCACAGCTGTCCGTGCATCAAGAGTCAAGAAAAGAAGAAAAACGAGAGATGAAAAGAAAAGAATTCAGCAAAAAGAAGAAGAAAACACGTTGGGGGGAATAGCTGGCTGAAAGGGAAGGCAGACATCAGAGCACCTTCGCAAACGACCTGGTCCCAATGCCAAGGTACCACTTCGGCCTGATGATCCGGAGTTCCAGCTTTGGGGGAAACCACATGCAGATACAGGCCACGTGAGGCTGCAAATCAGCTCAACTTTCTCAACTTTAGATGCCAATTCTCGAGTCTCTCTTGCTTTACCATGCCCTTGTCTAGTCGCTTTGACGTCTATCTGAGCCGATGAGCTGGTCATGAGGTGATGCTGATGCCGTCTCTTGCGAGCAGCTTGGCCTTGTCTTGGCTCACCAAAGGGAGAAAGTAGGGGATGAGATGGACAGGAAGGATGAGTTTCTGTTTCTTGCTCTCGCGTGGCCTGACGGGTTTCAGGGCTCAGGGGCCAAGACATCAGCATTGCATCTCGAGGGAAATAGCAACAGCGAGTTGAACAGGAGCGTCTCGAATCGTCTGACCTTTGTTTCGTTACACCAATCTCTTATTAAAAGACACACAATTTCATCACGTCTGGCCGCCTTGTCTGTCCCCGCGCCGTCGACGGGAGCATGCATATCGACTACCGTTGCACAAAGAAAATGAGCCCTTGGTATCATCAAGCTGAGGCCTCATCACCACTGAGCCATTGGCTTTCACATCATTCACCGTCCAGCTGTGCTTTGAATAAACAGTAGATTCTGTATCACATTGCCCAAATATGCATCTAATACCTTACTCATGCAGCCATCAACGTATATGCAACCCCGTTTTGTATCCCATCCAATCCCATTGCTTTTCGTCTCAAACAAGCTAAGCAGCCGCCGTAATCTGCTTCAGCGGCTTCATCGGTCCCTTGCGAGGCTCGTCCGTCCGGTCTATTCTGTACTTGAGCTTGACGCCCATGGCCGCCAACTCCACATCCAAAAACTTGAGCGCACCGGGCACCACAACCTGCGTCGTCTGGTCGCCGCCGACCCAGCAGTTGCCCTGACCATCCTCCCAAATCTCTCCCTGGATTTCCGTCAGGTCGATGCCCTCGCTGTCGTCAAGCCTGACGGCACAGTTTCGGCAACGGACCATGCTGGGAGCCTTCTTCTTTCCTGGTGCAAACTGAGATACTGTGGGCTGCACGGACAAGAATGATCCGCAGCGACGGCAGATCCATGATCGAGTGTAATCTGAGCAGTTGAGCAGTCTGTCTTGCAGCAAAAAGGCTGTTCCGTGCGCCAACAGGGCATCGCGCTCCATTTCTCCCACACGGATACCACCACCTCTCTTTCTGCCCTTGATGGGCTGGCCTGTTGTGGGCACCACAGGACCAGTGGTTCGCACCTGGTACTTGTCGTTAACCATGTGACGCAGTCTCTGGTAGTAGACTACACCGATGTAGATGTCGGCACCGAGCTCCTCTCCTGTGATGCCAGAGTACATGGGCTCATTTCCGTGGTAGTTGAATCCGGCCTTCATGAGCTGGTGTCCAAAGTAGTCTGCTGCCGTGTTCTCCTCGTCAAATCTGAAGGGAGTAGAATCCTGCGCCAGTCCATGCAGAGCACCGGCTTTTCCAGCCAGCGACTCCACAAACATACCGATTGTCATTCGAGAGGGGAAAGCGTGAGGGTTGATGATGACATCGGGCTGGATACCAGTCTCGGAAAAGGGCATATCCACCATCGGCCATTTTTGTGACAAGACACCCTTCTGTCCGTGTCTGGACGAGAACTTGTCACCAATAACGGGGGAACGAGGGATACGGATCTTGATGGAAATCGTCTGCAGAGGCTCAGAGCCCGATTCGGCACCAATCAGGCGGACCTCTTCGATGAATCCAATCTCCGAATCCTTGTATTTCTCGTAGTGGGTGATTCCGTCAAGGTTGACCAAGTTTCCGTTGTAATCGGGAGTAACTGTGTGCCATGCGCACAAAACATCATCTTCCTTTACCATTCGGCCAACGTGCGGCAGACCGTCGTCATCGAGCATGCCCTGGTACGCCGCGCTGACATAGCTGTGAGGGGCGAAGCCAAACATTTTGACAACGCTCTTGGCAGCCCTGGTTCTTGAGTCGTCCTTGAGCGTGATTTTCTTGGTCTTGTAGACGGTACCGTGACCGAAGCCTCTTTCGTGAGCAGACTTGTTGATGATCATAGCATCGTCCATGTCGTAACCGGTGTAAGAAATGACAGCAACCACTGCGTTCATGCCGTTGGGGAAGTTGTCGAAGCCATAGGTGTTGTGAAGAGGTGCACGGACAATGGGGGTTTGGCCCGTTTGTATCCTATATGACTTGTTGTCTGTTCGGTGTCGAATGGCCGTACCCGGAGTTCCCATGGTTTGTTTACCCATCTGACACTGGTACATGTTTCGGGGAGATTGGTTAAAGTCGGAGAACGGTGTCATGTTGGCAAGGATGGAGAGCATGTTGGTTGGGTCAAATTCAACGTGTGTAGACACGCCAGACTCAATCTCCTGCGGAACAACAGCGATTGACATGTAAGGCTGCTCGTAGGGGCCGACAAAGTCTTCCTTCTGTAGGGGCAGGTATTTGACGGGCCGAACCATTCTGGACGGGGTGGACGTCAGGTACAGACCCGGGTATGAACCGCCGTTTGATGGAGGCACGTATCCGATCTCGAGTTGCAAAGGTACGTTGTGCGAGCCCTCGACCTTCCAGTATCTCAAGCAGTCTCCGATTCGCAGTGACTCCTTCGGGGTGGACCATCCAAGGATCTTGCCATCTAGCATGACAACAACACTCTCATCTGTAGACGCGGATGATGTGTCAACAGCACCGAGCTCGGCAACCAGCGCGGGAATGCTGGACACATCGATGTAGTCCGTCATAACCTTGCACTTGTGCGTCATGTGGTTCAGCAAGCCACAGGGAGAACCATCGGGTGTGTGGACAGGGCACATGAAGCCCCAAGATTCTGGCAGCAGTTTTCGCACGGCGGTGGTCTTGAGTTGGGCGAAGAAGGCACCACGGTGAACCATTCTGAAGTGGCTGATGAAACGCAAAAAGTTGAGCTTCTCTGCCACCACGGTGAAGCCTGCTGTTTGCTGTAGATCCAGACCAGAGGCACTCACCAGGTTACCGGTGGAAAGGAAGTATTCGAGGCCATTGGCGATATTTTCGTTTGATTTTCTGAAAATGCCACCAGGGAACTCTTTTCGGAATTCTTCGGAGGTGAAGTTCACAGCAGGATGCCTTCTCAGGTAGTCTCGGATGGCCGCACGAACGCTCACGCTAAGAAACTCGTCTAGCCTCTCCTTCAAAATCTGCGAGTAAAGAAATCCACCGAGCAGAATTTCCTGGTTCTGGATGGCATCGGGGTTGTCGACGGCGCATTCACCGGCGGCCAAGGCGTAGAGCTTCCGAATCATGAACAGCACCATGTGGAACTTGTCGAGATCTTGCTTCTCTGTGACATCGACATTGCCCAAGTGCACGCAGATAATCTTCCGCAGGAATTCAGTTCCGACCTCGTAATCCGACATGGTCTCTGGAACTCCCAAAACGACTCTGAACTTTTGGCCCAAATAAGCACGAGTTTCAGACTTGCTGTAGAGGCGGTAGGCCTTGTATGTTCTCAGCAAGAGTTCTACACGATCTGTGAGGAAAGTGTTTTGAGCCGCCTTAGAGCCCATGGGTCCAATCAGCCCCTCAAAGATTTCTCGGTCGTTGGTCTCCACCAGTGCCTTCAGAATCATGATGACGGGGATAAGATATTCGTTCTTGCGCCACGAAAACCTAAACGTCACGTTTCCGTCCTTCAAGTAATGCAAAACATTGGTCTGCGACGTCTCGTCTGGTCGTACTGATCGCAGAATGATACCGTATGTGGTGTATCCCGCACCTCGATTTGTGAAACTCGGACGGTTGATAGCCATGGGGAAGTTTCGCTTGTTCACCTGCAGGAGACGGATAATCTTTTCGTTACCGTTGACAATGAAGTATCCACCAAGCTCTTCGGACTCTTCCTTTCGCGAAACCAATAAAGCAGGCGAGTTATTCTCGAGGTGACATCTGTTTGACTGTTTGCAACCGATGAGTACTGCTGGTCGACGCTAAACAAGTGAGCAGAGATACAAGAGGATCATACCTTGATCATGATGGGAACCTGGCCAAGCTCTCTGGTAAACTCAATGACATCGCCTCCATTGATGCTGTACTCGAACGTGGCGGAGAGCTTTCCTCTGTAGGTAGCGTGCCTCTCTCTGCACTCGGCGGGGAAAATTTCTCTGTTCAAAGCCAGCTTGTTGGAGGGCGGCACCTGCGGCTTCTGCAGGGTCACCTCCTTGATCCGAATCTGGAGACGGTTTTTGCCTTCTGGGCCAGCGCGGTCGTTGCCATCGAGAAAAACTTTTGTGCCAATATCTGCCAGGCCGTGGGCGAGAAGGCCGGGCTTTCCATCGCCGCGAAAGATGGCATTGAACGACTCAATGTGAGGGTTGACTGCTAGCTGGAGAGCGGGATAGGCGGAATGATCGGCAGGAGGATTGCGGAAGAGGTCCTGGCGACGCAGAGTGTGAAACTGGTGGTCCCATTCCGTGCTGGTGGCTGAGGGCGCCATGGTGTCGAAGAAGTAGCTTTAAGCTCGAATCGTGATTCTTGCTTGAGGATGATTGACGATATAACGGGCGACTGATAAGATGCAATGCCTGGGTCTCAAAGCATCGAGACAGGCAGCTTCTTCTTGCGCGCGGTGAGTATTAATGAAGCGCCTGTCCCAACTCAATTGCAATTGGAGGCTATCCGGCAGACCCTTCACGCAGGTAGCATGCGATTGCAGAAGAAAAAAAAAAGTTGACGATAAGACTGGGTCACATGAGATAGCGCTATCGATAGTGGCAGTCCACAGTGACATATGTCAGCAAAGCAAACGAGGCGGGGCACGTTGATGCCGCTTTGGGCTGCGGGGTGGCTTCACTTTGAGGTACCTCTGTACAATCTGTGGCTTCACTTTGATACGCCACTCCAGAAACAGCTTCTGATATGATGGATACATGCAGTTTTATGAGGGAAATGGTAGCCAAAATTCCAAGTCTGCCAAATAACATCTCGTGTCTTAGATCTGATGCTACAAAGGTAGGTGGTGAGTGATGATACAAGAAACTAGAGGGGATCTAGGGGTAGTAGCAGATGCTAGAAAAATATAGTGTTGGTAGCAAATACTAGAAAAGTGTAGCGATAATATCAGATAATGAGCTGAGATTACTTTCAGGTACTATTAAGGTGGACAAGGAATTGCCAGATAAAAGGCCTCCTTTGGAACTTTGTTCTCACGCTTGAACGACTTACATGAATTCCCACCCTTACACCAACTTACGCTGTATTAGTTCGTCGGCCGTCTTCTAGTAAGTCTTTATTGCTATAGGCTAAATGTCACTCCTTCGCGTCTTTTTACAGCATACAACACTCTATAATAATATGGAAGCTTTGGGCTCTTTTTATCACAATAGTACAAATATCCTCTGTATTGGTCCGTACATCTGCGGTCCTTGAACCAGCCCCACAGATAAACTAAATGCTCAGAGCCTCCAGTGAACAAAGCCATCGTACAAGCTTCATCATATCATCATGGTAGCTGCGCAGTCGAGTCAACCAGATGAGCCTCCATATCCCTCATTCGAAGAGCTTAGGAGCAATGAAGAGCGTGTTCTCTTCTCTCCGGCCGCCAAGCGTCTCTACTGGCCTCTGGAAGGCGTCTTCCCTTCCACAATATCCGTCATGAGGACCACTCGCAGCGTAGGCGACCTTGACCCCTTCTTCATGCCAGACACCAGCGGTAGCGGTAGTGGCACCTGGCATGAGATCTCATCGCTGCCTCTGACCGACCCAAAGGTCTCTTCCGTCGAGGCTTCACTGCGCGATCTTGACCAATGGGAGTCTGATTGGCTAGCATGGCATAAGGACCATACCGCACCCGAGTTTAACGCTGAGTATGTCACCTATGGAGATCTCAGCGATGAAGATCGGCCATACGCCAATGAGCCCAAGGAGGATGGAAGCTGGGAGGAGGAGGAGGATACTGAGTTTCTCGTACGATGTTGCGGAGACGATAGACCGCTCAGGAAGAGAGGGTTGAAGATCAAGGTGACACCCTCCGCAGGCAACAACTTTGTCACTGTGTATGACTACGTCAGTGGTAAGTCTTAAAGTCTCTCTCCTAGAATTTTGAAGAGCTTTCCCAACCATCAGTCTCAGTCGTGCATCCATGGCTCATGGGCTTACGTGGGGATATTATACGAGCAGAGGCTGTTGCTCGTCCCATGCCTTATATTGAGTCAGGGGGCAACATCGAATGGGTGGTTAGCAACTTGACAGCGCCGCAACACGAAATAATGAAGAAAGAATTATGGGTTGAGATGCATCGACCGCCACGCCCCATGGACTCCGCAACCTCCAGATTCCTGCAAAGAATAGGTGCAAGAACGGCTCAGTAATTTACTATGCCAACAAATCTTAGAGATCCTAATCTGGATGACGCAAACAGCACAATGGTCTAAAACCCCATCTATATTTCTTGTGGCGTTTTGATCAAATAATGCTAACCATACATGGCCTCCAATCCAACCTTTCTTCTAGTCCTAATAATAGAAGAGCGTTGGTTGCGAGCTCTCGCTATAGATGCCCGAGTCTGTCTCATCCCGCCAACTGACACAACGAGATTCTGACAGTCTTTTCTGAAAGGGCCTTTGAGTAGTGGTGAGCCATAACTGATCAAAGCCACTTTGACAACTGTCCCAATATTGCGTGCTGAGAGCTCGGAGAACATTTTGAGAAATGCCGTCGGCCAGAAATCCTCTGTCAACGTCCCCAAATTTTGACTCAAGACTTCGACGTCAATCATGATGTAGAGATGTGAGATACCCTGGAGGACTGATGCAAGGATATTGATCCAGTCGTTTTCTGACTTTGCGTCAATATGAGCCATGAGACGAGGAACCAGAGCTGCATCGGTGTGGATACTTTTGTTGACAGAAATAGCCTGCGAAATGATATATTTAAGCAGGTCGATTGTCGACACTTGTGCCTGGTCAGCAGTCGTTTTGTCAATGTTGAGAGCTTTCAATGCCCAAATGACCGGACACTTTGCATCAAAGAGTATCGCGATGGACTTTGCGCAAAAACTTTGGAGGTGGAAACGTGTCTTCCATGTTCCATTAATGATAACAAGAGACGAGTCTTTGTCTTTATTCCATTTTTGGATTCTTGAATCAAGCCAAAATGCCTCTCCTTTGATTGATGGTCTCGGATGGCGCTTCTTAGACATGAACAGCAGCAGCTGAAAAGCTTTGATGGGATCTGGAAGGACAGCGACAGATAATTGGCTTAAAAGCTGCATAAGTTGGACTTCGGACAGCCTCTGCTGAAATTCGATCCTCGCCGATGCATTGATGCCTTGTTCAGTCACCATAGAGAGTTTCATGTCGGAAACTGCTGTTATTAGTTCTGCAATACTTTCGCGAGTCAGCTTTTGCTCATGCATTATTTGAGCAATACGTTTGTGCATATCTCGTTGCTCAGCGTGGCTGCTGTCTAGAGCCATCTTACACATTGTATCAGATAGGGACGATATAGTCGCTAAAAGATCACCATATTGGTGCTCCATGTGCTTCGTCAATGCATGTCGCAGGTGTGTCATCTTACTCTCTCGATACCAACGAAGGACGCGCAAGAGGAATTCGAGGATACGGGCATATATTGCAACGACGACCTGCTTGATCTGCTGAGTTGGGTAGAGCTGTATGATAATTTCCGTACGCGATATGATATGGGCAATATCATTGAGTCCTCCATAGAGTTGCGAAAGAAGGTCGTCGTGGTCCTTTACTGTCTACATGTAGCATCTTTAGCTCAGATGATCCAGGACAAACTGCACTGGTCACGGGGACACTCACTAGGAGGAGACACTTCATAGCACCCCAGGCTAAGGCGGAGTATTTTGGTTGTTGCGATAGTAGCACGTCCATGATATTACTGTAGTTGTATAATTTCTCCGATAGTTGTACTAATCCTTTGCGGAGTTTTGACGTGCCCTTTCGTCCTTCGTAGTAAACCCGAGCCTCTTCGACAGATGCGAGGACGCTCTCAAAGCTAGAGTCAATGATCCACTCCTGCTGCTTTCCATCTTTCGAGAATTCTGAAGAAAATTCGGCTAAAGCTTCGTTGAAGAGACTTTCAACGCTGATAGTACTTTTAATAAGATATTGTGCATTAGCTGTAATTTTCTTTAACAATTGTACTGTTGAAATCTCACCCTTCAGTACTCTCCAATGAGGAATACCAAGTTGTAAACTCATTAGTTTCTGACGCAGCCATTTTAAAAATAGCCTCTTCGGAGTCAGATATTGAAAAATCGGTCAATGCCTCAGGTCTGCAACGAAAAAGTGTCGGGACCGCAATTTATCAGCATAATTTGGTCTGGATATTGTTATCGGATCGTCAAGTGGGACGATGTAGGTAGCCTTGAAATCATGCATATACGATACGAGTCGCGGTGTATGTGCTACACCATGCCAGCGGGTAGCCGAGCCTGATGACTACTATACATATCTCGGCGCCTAACCTACATATTTGGTTGGTCTCATATATATTTAGCAAGGAGTATGAAGTGTTTCCTGGCTTGAAATTATACCTTTGCAATTAAAATCGTCGCAAGTCTCATTACCTCGACAAGCTGATGGTATGATGCCTCAGTGGGGAAAGCGAAGCACAATATTACCAACTGCGGATGCAGATACACTATCGATTCCAGATCAAATCCCAAATCGGGGCGACGACTATCACCTTGCTGAAGAAGGCGACAATAACAGTGGAAATGGCAGCAAAGCCGAAACTGGGAGCCACGTCTCTCAAGAAGGGCGTGTAAATAACAACTCTTCGATTGATCGAACTTTTATTGATACTTCTGGGCAACGAGAATCGCTACTGCAACAACAGCCAACGCAACAACCAACACAAGAGCCAATGCAACAGACAGACTCACTAGCTAACACTATTGAATCTATTGCAAGGGCTCTCAATATCCAAGAGAAAAGTCCAACGTTGACCATGGAGACTTTACAGACATATTTTTCGGACCTCAACTCAAAAAAAGAAACGCAAAAGTCAGCTGTCTCCATGGTTCAACTGATCCACCGCGTGTACAGAAGGACTAAAAGGGTATCATCAGAACATCTTTATCTTGATCAACCCCAATGGTTAGCGGGAGAAACATCATCCAGAGCTGCTTTTGCGGGTAATCTCCCTGTGCACAACATTCCGGCGTATCTCTCAAAGCACCCGGAAATCTGTTGTGTTATATATCGGGACTATGATATTTCCTCCTTCATTGGTAAAGAACCCCCGGATGAAGATTTGAACACTCCAGTCAGCCCAGAGCAAACTGGGGAGTTTATTGAGCCTGTATCCAGAAGTCTCACCAGCGCGGTAGCTAGATTTTTTGACTACTACAAGTTCAATACGGATGCCGTGGCTAGCTTCAACTCATTAAAGCTTATAGCTCCATATGTTACGATTTATTATGCCCGGGAAAAAGGTTTACCATCTTTTATGGCTACTTTGGAAAGAAGACAGCATGCTCAATTCCAAACGGTGCTTGATTACATACTCTCTCGATATGAGAATGACTATGGCATTTTTGACGAGATGACCAGCAAAGGCAAGATCTCGCAGGCTTATATCGAATATCTCTTCAAGCCCGGCGACACCATAGTACTTGGAAAGGATCAAGAGGCAAGAGGTTGCTTGTGCAAGACTTGGCTTCGGAAGAATACGACCAAGAGTACAGATTTCCATCAAGAAGTTCCAAATCAGGATAAGATTAAGTCGACTTTCGAACTGGAAGCCTGGTCATGGGACTTTGACGGCGAATTCTTAAAAAAGGAGTCGAATATTCTCATGGAATTTGATGTCAAGGACTACTCAGAGAAGAACATTAGTGACCTAAGCCTCCGACCCCTCCGTTTTGTGGATGGAGCTACGGAAACAAGATTGAAAACGAGAGGAGAATGGTTCTGGAAATGCCGTGAGAGGCAAATGGTATCTTACGATGATACGCTCCAAGGGCTTCATCACTCCTGCCATGAGCGATATATGATTGACATGGCGATGTATCGCGATTTACACAAATCCGAGTCTAGCGCTACCAAGCGGGCTGATGTTGGCTATTTTTCACCTGAGACGATGAGGCAGGAAAATCCTCCTGATGAGAACTTCATTCATCTGGCGCCCCTAACGCTAAAGGCATACAACCTCAAGAAGAAGAAGTGGATGAATGTAAAGCTTGATGGACTTCGCCAGGTTTCATGGAACACAAGAGCGTTTGAGCGCCTCGTTCTCAATAAAAAAACGAAACGATTGATTCAAGCCCTCATTAGCAATCAAATCGAAGCCGAAAAATCCACCGATCTGATCAGTGGCAAGGGAAACGGCTTAATCATGTTACTCCATGGGGGTCCAGGTACAGGGAAGACTTTGACTGCTGAGAGTGTGGCCGAAATCGCCAGGAAGCCACTCTACCCGGTCACCTGTGGAGACATTGGAACCAAGCCAGAAGAGGTCGAGAACTACCTCGAGTACGTCCTTCATCTCGGAAAGACTTGGGGGTGTGTAGTTTTGCTCGACGAAGCAGACGTGTTCCTGGAGCAACGCGGTTTGGAAGACCTTCATCGAAACGCGCTGGTGTCAGTATTTCTGCGAGTTCTTGAGTACTATGATGGCATTTTGATCTTGACGAGCAACCGGGTTGGTACCTTTGACGAAGCGTTCAAGTCACGGATTCAGCTGGCAATTCACTACGGTAGCCTGACGACACATCAAAGAACCAAGATATGGGAGAATTTCGTAGATCGTTTGAGAGAGTTGAATGAAGAGGGAATCGATTTCGATGATCTGGAGGATAATATCGAGCAGTTAGCTAAGAAGGAGATGAATGGGAGAGAGATTCGCAACGCCATTACGACGGCGAGGCAGTATGCGAGGTGGGAGCGACAACAGGATCAACGTTTCAAGCTGAATTATAACGTGGTGAAGGAAGTTATTGAAACTGCTGGAGAATTTGACGCGTATATTAACACTTTGAACGGCGGATTGACACCAGAGCAGGTGGCAAAGGAGGACGGAATACGCTAGCGAGATTATGGTTCAGATTGTATTTTCAATTAGTATCTTGCTGTTATTTTCTTTAGTATCTTGGTATTATGATTTCCTTTGTAACAATATTATGGAACATTTTCACTTGCACCTAGTTTCATGCGAACAGGTGATTCAACCTCGATCAAATAAACGTGACTCTCTTGTGAGAGCTTCAACAAAGCAGGCTATCAACACTATTCAACGACGTGTTATGAATTGATATTGAATTAGATATCCATGGAGCCAAAATCACATGTTCTGTGTAGTAGATGTAATCGAGAAGTCTCTCTCCTAGCCCACGTCTTTGTATTAGTCATCTTCATCAGAAAGAGGCTATTCAGGGAACATATGATATCGATGCAAAGCTGGGTCCATATAGCGTGACGGCTTAGCATTCGCCAAGCTGTAGAGAGCTGCTAGGCCTCTTTGCGTATGAATCGACATTCCTAGCACCCTATATGTCAAGTGTGTTCTGATTCAAAGACGGCCTTCGTATGCTGTGTCTGATTCCGAGTTAGTCTCTCTGTACTGGGTGGGAGACTAACACTGACCCAGCATCACAGCCCGCAAGTGACGGATGACCACGAATGTTGGTTGGTGTGCCTAGCACTCTATTTGGGAGATATCAAGGTGTCATAAAGTGGTGCTCGACGTAATAATGCCTAGCTTCCCCCTCCAAAGCGGCCCCCCTGGTCGTGATATTTCCGCATCTTGTCTGGTACATGGAGCTAAGGTATCTGTGTTCCACATTCAACCCATCTTCTCCATCTTGACCAAGCTAGGAATTGCAGGTCCTATTGCTCTGTATCACTCATCTTCATCAAATTTTTTTTATCAGGCCAGCTGCTCCTACCAGGGGCACTCTAGCTTGAAAATGTACTCGTACCGTAGCACTCATTCAGAGCAGGGTGGCAGAGATTTTAAAAAGCCGCCGGGGTCTCAGCATCTCTCTCGGTTCTCTAGGCGCCGGGACTTTTGCCTCGAAGACTGGAACCTCGCCTTTCGATGCCCGCACCTGTCGATAAAGTGCTAGGCGCCGGAGCAGGGGCTCCAAATCGGAAAACGTCGTCGCATCCGTTCTTCTCGCAAGAGGCGCCCCGATCGGTCAGATCAGGATGCAGCCCTCAATGCAGGCAAAAAGAGAGCTAGCAGGGCCTCGTGAACAGAGCACGCACTGGGCTTTGATGCTTCGTGTGTGACGGGAGGTGCAGCATCCAAGTTTATGCGGTGAACGAGTGTGCCCGTTTTTCTATTTTCAGTCTTTTTTTCTTTCCTTTTCTTTTTCTCACATTGGACCCATTGGATGAGAGGGGATTCGGAAAACGACATGGATTTGATTGCTGGTATTTCGTGATATTTGATATGGATGGAGCCTCTATAATGCCACTAAGACCCCAAGGTATGGACACGGACATGCTACATTCAGTACAAGTCCCCAGGGTCAGTGGCGGGGCAGATGGAGGACAAAGAAGAAGAAAAAAAGAATCGACGAAAAAAAATCAATGAAAATGGGCAAATAAATCGCTGCCTGTTATTGAACCTTATCCGGCCCGCCAAAGCTAGCAGCGGCAGGTACTAAGCAGGCCGACCACTTTCCGCTTTCCAACCCCGCCATCGTCAGACGCGCATCTTCATCCTCCTCATCCTTATCGATATTCCGCCATCCGCCATCCATTCCGGGGCTTCACAACTCGGCTTCTCTTTTGCTCCTCTACATCAACACCAACATCAACACCATCGCCATCATCGTCATCGTCATCATCATCATCATCATCATCATCACCAGGGCATCGATCACGACAGAACCACCGGCTGGCTGCAAGAATCAACCCCAGCACAGCACGGCACAGAGACAGAGACACCGCAGCAGCTGCCAGGCCAGGCCAGGCCAGACCAGACCAGACCTTGCTACCACGACTACTGTAGGCGCTGTGCTCCAGAATCCACCGTTGGAGGCGCTGGAAATGGCATAGCACAGCTGCAGCCTGTCACTGAGAATCACCACATACTCCGTACATACATACATGCTCGTACATGCTCGTACATCAGTCTGCCCCAAGGCAATCAATCGTCCATCACCAGGCCTGTCCTCGCATTACTAGCCGCAGGACTGATCATCACCTTCTCTCCCATACCCATACCATACCATACCATACCATACCATACCTGCACAGTACGGTACCAGTACGGGGTTGCTGCCGGTGAGTGCTACAGTCCATCTGAGACAGGCTGCGCCAAAAGGTCCAGCCTGCTTGCACAAGATACGGGGTGCCTTTTATGCATCCTCACGAGCCAAACCCCCGGCTCATGATCGGCCCAGTCCGCACAAACGAATGAAACGGCACACTTTGCACAGGGCAGCGGTTAACCTCGATTGGCAGCGTAGGTCTGGTGACTCGTCAAACACAGCATACCCGCTTCCATACGACGTCCCGAAGTTGCGCACGCACGCACCGTACAGCTTCTCTTGGTGCGCCGCCGCGACAAACCACAGCTGCCCTTTGGTTGGCCGTCCCTTTTTTCCCTCTCTCTTCTGGCCATCCATCCTTCTGGCCACTAGCCGTCCAGATAGCGGAGCAGAGCAGCTTGCCGTCCTCATGCTACCAGTTTGCCAGCTTCGGACCTACGTCAACAGGTACTAGCTGTCGTTGCGATACGCCATCTCTACGCCAGGCCCTACGCCCTGCTCTACACTCCAATTTTTTTTTTTTTTTTGCTGCTCCATCACCCTGCCTTTCTACGCTTCTCTACGCATCTACGCATCTACACGCTCATCTCTGCGACCTCCCTCGCATTCCAGACGAGCTCGCGGCGCCCAGGTTAGCTCTCCCAGACCCCCAGGAGCTCGTGCTTCGACGCCCGTCAGCCCGCTGCTCTTGTCTCGACCACCATCCATCTCCCAGGTGGGGTTCCCTCTACTTCTGCCGCCAGGCGTCACCTCAAGCCCTCATGTCACTTGGACCAACCGTTGCGCAACAACCTTGAATCTTGCTCTCTCTCCGCATCCCTATCTTGCCCCATCTCTCTCTTTTTTCCTCCCTGATTTTTTTTTCTTTCTCTTCCCTGCAAGGGCATTACGCATCGCCCAAACGCAGTCGACGAGCTTCGGCATCGAGCTTACCTATTCTTCCACAGATATAGAGCGTCGACCTCCGCTACTGCTCCATCTAGCCGCATCGGCCCTATCGCATGCCAGGCGGCAAGCTTTGCACCCGCACGACCTTTGCGCCGGTGTCGGTAAATCGATAGGTTTGCCCACGAGCTCACGCAGCGACGCTTCCTCGACTGTGCCATTCGTATTATACATTTGACAACGACCGCCGCCATCGCGCGACTTCCTGAGACATCGACAAACGTTTGACCGCCGGTCGTACCGCCGAATCGATTTCTCGCAACGCCATCTGCTGATACCGTTTCCCCTCATCCTCATCCTCCCCCCTCCTTCCTCCCTGTACCAACATCCGATCGACGTCTCGCATAAACGATTTCAACATGGCCGGGCTATTTAGAAAGGTGTATGACTGGTTGTTGAGGACGTTTTGGTGAGTAGCTCTACTGCACCGGAATCAGAGGCGGGGGTCCCACGATACACTGGGTGGTGGTGTGTGGCGTTGCCGTGTGTAGATGCTGGCCGTGCTGCGAACCCGAAGCCCGTCTCGTGCTTGAGCCATGTGTGTGTGTGTCTGTACCTGTGAAATCTGACTGGTAGCGATAGGGCGATGGAAATGGAAGTGACCATGGTTGGTCTGCAAAATGCCGGAAAGACATCGTTGCTGCGAGTACTGGCTGTAGGTTTTCCCCCCTTGCCACACCTTGCTGCTTGGGGCCAGGCTGACCGAGTTGTTGGGATGATGCTTTAGGGTGGAGAGTTTACTCTTGAGTAAGTGCATGTCCCTTCCATTGCCCCATCCCCCCCTCTGATCTTCCTACCGTGGAGGATCTGCCGTGGAGGATCTGCAGTGGTCAGCTGCTCCCTCTCGGAACCTTGAACCACGGCAACCCCTGAAGACGCATTGAACATGTCGGTCCAGTTACTGACTGCGAGTCTTGTGTAGCTCGATTCCGACCGTCGGGTTCAATATGAAGCGTGTGCAACGGGGGCATGTTACACTAAAATGCTGGGATATTGGGGGGCAGCCGCGTTTTCGCACCATGTGGGAGCGGTATTGCCGTGGTGTCAACGCCATCGTCTTCATCGTAGACATTGCGGATGTAGAGCTCATCCCCCAGGCCAAGGAGGAGCTTCACTCCCTCATGGCCCAGCCGTCCCTAGGGGGGATCCCCTTGCTTGTTCTCGGCAACAAGTCTGACCTCCCGGAGAAGCTGTCGGTCGATGAGCTGATTGATGAGCTAGACCTGAAAAGCATCCAGCAACGTGAGGTCTGCTGTTACGGCATCAGTGCCAAGCACGAGACAAATCTCGACGCCGTGGTGCAGTTCCTGGTGAAGTGGGCTGGTCGATGAAGGGCCTTTGCCTTGTGTGCCTGGACAAGCAGGCGACTGAGCAGCCGCCTGGTGGTCTCAAGACAGCACAGGACCTATGCTTGGGAGCAGCGAGGCCAGGACGAAGAAGGATGCTGACCATTAATCCCCCTAATGCCCCCAGAACCCCCCCAAGTGCAAGAGGTCGACTAGACCTGGCACCTCTTTGAGCGAACCCATAACCTCTTCCCCCCCGCCTGCGCGGCGTGGAGTCGAGACATTTCCGGACCGGACGACAGTTGGTATATAAATTTCCTCTCTCACGAACTCTCATGAAAGATGATGGCGAACCACGGCAACATTGTTTTTGTTTTTGCCCTCGACGGGGGCTGGCCCTTTTGACTAATCCCCCCTTTGGCTCCTGGCATGGACGGAAGTAGAGACGGCGGCATCCGGAGGCATCGAGTGTGAGATATAGAAAACGGAACCGGGGCTTGGAGCATGGTGGGCACTTGCCCGGTGTGTTTGTGTGATTTGCCCCCTCCCCCTTTCCCAGTTTCTTTGGTTTGGATAAGTTGCGATGTTTTTTGTTTCCCCTCCCGCGGACAAGATCAACTCCAAGGCGCGCCTATGTATAGCAAGCGATCCGGGCGATGAGATATGAATGATGATTTATAGCATTTTGTGAGAACAAGGAAAACAAAGACAAAGACAAAAACAAAAACAGACACAGAAACAGACACAGACATGCTCCTCAACGGAGACCCGGTGATGCAGGTCGATCAAGGGTGGGCGACGTGCGAGAAGAGAGAGAGGCTCATTCGCACGCCGTCACGCAGAGAGTGAGCTGTAGGCCCGTACATGTACATGTTTATGTATATGTAGAATGTAGAATGTAGAATGTAAAAGAATCATCATCTGGAGGTCCTGGAAAACAAGAAGATCCGTGGAGTGTCCCGGGTATTTGGTCCTGGCAGCCAAGGTAGGAAAGGTTCATGGATGGGGATGCGCGGGGCTTGGGAACGAGGGATGGATGGTGTTGGTTGGTGGGCGTGTGGGGTTGTGATCCCATCACCACCAAAAAGCAGCTGCGAGAAAACGAGAGACTGCGGCTGCTGATTGATGAGAGAGAAAAAGAAAAAGAAAAAAAGAGGCAGAAGAAGAGGAGGGCATGAGGTGAATAGCAACAGCCCGAGTATAAAAAACAAGACAAAAAAAAGGGAGGGGGAGAGAAGAAGAAGAAGAAGAGGCAGCAGCAGCAGCAGCAGAAGCGCACGGCAAAGACGGTGGGCTTGGACGGATCTCGAGGCTACACACGGACCACTTGATGCGTTGGCCAACTCATCACTGCAGTTGACAAGCGCCGACATTCCCTGTCTGGTGATTTTGCCTTGGGGGGGGGTTTGATGGATTTTGTTTCTTTTTCTGGTTTAGGGATGGGATGGGATGGGAGGGGTTACGCTGTCTGTGTCTTTTTCTTTTTCTTTTTCTTTTTTTTTTATTTGATTTGCTTGTGATTTTTGGCTATTTTGTCTTATTTTGGTTTTGTTTTAATGTGTTTTGGCTGTGGTTGTGTGATTTTTGTTTTATAGAGGTAGAGGTAGGTAGAGGTGGTACGTAGTAGAATGGACTTGTATGGCGCATGTGCGTGCATGTTGCATGTTGCATGTTGCATGTTGCAGCGCGTGTCTTATGCTCTATGATGTGATGGGCTTTTTTTTCCGTCGCAAAGAGAGAGAGAGACCATGTAAAGAGGAGAAGCAGAAGAAAAAAAAACATGTGTGTGTGTGTGTACGGAGTGCTCGTACCCGTCAAACGGTATCCGGAACTGGGGCCGGGGTTTGTTTTTTTTCTTCTCTTTCTGCTTTCTGCTTTAGTGGTGGGATGAGCGAGAAAAATGCCAGCGCATCAAGTAGGGGTGGGCATTTTTTATTTTCGGTTCGGGGGTCGGGGGTGGTTGCGTGGGAGGCTGAGATGGGAACGTGGGGATTTTGTACTTGTGAGAGTTTTGAGGCAAGGATACTGTGACTGCGGGTTTGGTTTGTTATGGGATGGGGGGATTTTGGTGATGGGAATGGATATACGAGGATGTTTTCACGGGGTTTGGTGACTGTTTTTATTTTATTTTGTTTTTTAATTGGATTATTTGTGTTCAAGGTGAGACTGAGTAGGACGTGAGGGAGATGGGGGGGCTGGACCAAAGGTGAGTTACGGTGATGATACAACAGAGCATTTGAGCGATTGAAGCGGCTGGTCATTTTCATTTTTTTGCCTGTCGCGCTGGACCAATCCCGTGTCAAGGCGAGGAGAATTTTTGTTGAGGATGCAGGGCAGGAGGCTGAATGCATGCAAGGATTCGCTGTTGACACTGCTGCTTGTTGAGAGAGGCTTTTTGTTTTCTCTTTCGAGTCTTTCGCCCGAAAACGCGCCATGCCCCATGCAATGTATATGCCATGTACATGTAATGTAATGTAGTGCGTAGCAGAGTGCATATGCAGCACGAAAGAAAAAAAAGATGTTATCAGAGGGAACGTGCAAACAAATATGAATGAATGGATGAGAATGATGTGACATGATATGACGAAAAGAGGGGGTGGTGTTTATAGGCGTTCTGCAGGTGATATACTCGTAGCAAAGAGGTGAGATGACATGGCAGCGGGTGTTTGGGCGGATAAGGGAAGCGCGATGTGAGGGAGATGAGGGTTTTTGTTTTGGTTTTTTAGGGGTTGTGCTAATGCGATGCGATGCGATGTATGTGATGCGTGTGTGCGTAGATGGGTGGGTTCCGGATGTGAGTTGAGTTGGGTTGATTTTTGAAGGGATCGTGGTTGAAGGGGATTTGCTGGTGAGGAGGGGGGAAATGCGGTGATGAGGGGTAGGAGGTTGAAGGGAGGATGATGATGACGATGGTGGGATTGTTTGAGGGGAGGGGGATTGAGAGAGAAGGTTTGGTGTTGATTGATGTTATTGTAAAGAGATGTATGTATATGTTGCTTAGAGAGAGTTGGAGTGAGATGTGTCTTGGGTTAGTATGATGGGGTGTAGAAGAGAGTATAACAGTGTACAAGTGTAGATGATGATGCCCGGATCTCGCTGCAATCAACGTGCCAACAGCCACATCTCCCACGGCAGTTGACTCGCCGACACGACACTGGAAGAAGAGCCTAGACTTCACAAACCAGACAAACTCCAAGGATTCGACACTTGGGTCCGTTGGGCCGCCAGACGCTGCATCTGCAAAGCATGTCACGACGTCACTGTTTGGGTGTCAACGAACAATACAGGCCGCCCCCACTTTTGGATGGGCACGTAGGTATCTTTAGATATTGCCCTTTCTCTCTCCTCGTCCTTTCTATTTCTCTCTTTTTTTTTTTTTTCATCGTGGCTTTTTTATATTGGAGTTTGGGGAGTATACATTTGCCATTTTGTTGTTTTCTTTTCTGGGGGGTTTTTTTTCTCTTCATCTTTAGAGTTGAAAAGGGCGTTGTTATTAAAGGTTGCAATTGCTTTTTAAAAAAAGAATCGGGAGAGGTGAATGTGAGTATATACTTGCTAAAGATGATCCATTGACTTTTATAGGTGATTACAGGGACTGACATGTGAACACATAGCCAGGCACCTCTTAGAAAATGGAGTTTTGACGTTTGACTGGCGAGACACACCACGCTTTTATGGCGGTGGGTACTTGTCTTCTACACCCGTCCATATCAACTGAGCATTAATTTCTTGTGTTATACAGCATGTGTGTCTTTGGTTTCCAAATTCCTCTTCTTCACCTTCGTTTCTTCGGCTCCCTTCTCACATGGTTAAACAGTGTGAGAACAAGAGCCAGTCGCCAATTGCCCCTTTGGCTGGGGCGTAACAGTAACAACACACTGCTCTGCCTGACATACAGGCGGTGCAGTGCCAATGACACTTTTCACGCGACGCTGACAAGCATCATTGACGCTGCACAGAGGTAGCAGAGGGTTGGGGCAGTCTGTTTCTGGCTTTGTCCCAAGGGGAGCGTTGGCAGCTCTTATTTCATCATCTTTTCTTTTAATGGACACCCGAAAAATGGCATTAATGGTAATGGGATAATGGGGGGAGGGCAGAATAAGAGAATGGCTGAGGCAAGACTTTCGTTTTTTATTCACCTTTCACTTGGCGGATTGTGTTGCTCTTGAGCATCCGTTCCTTGCTTCATTAGACAATATCGGTTTATAATGGCACATACACGTCTCGGCTCTATTTGGACTGTTTCTCTAGTACAAAATGCATGCGTGAAAGAATATAGTATGGAGGTAATGACCAAGACTCCCTTGTACACCCAGCCAAAAAAAAAAAAAAAACTCGTAATAAAAAAAGATCCAATATCATGTCCGGATTGCCTCCCTTCCAAAAAGAGAAATATGCACAAATAGTCAAATCAAGCATGAATAATTCAAGGATAATCCGTAAACCCAGCCGACTTGCCGCTCCTGTCCAGCAGGTACTTGTACTTGTCGCCCTCCCTCCTCAGCACGGGCGGAATGTCCTGGTTCCGGTCAATCCTCTCAAACGTGTCAATGTCCCTGCCCCAGACGTCTTTGCCGTCGCGGACCGCCTTGGCAATGTTGTCCCTGTTGCGGTACTCGTCGTCGTTCATCCACACGTGCGAGAAGCTGGCCATCTTGTTGAGGAACTGCTCCATGGTGGCGAAGCAGCTGCTGCAGTGCCAGGCGGCGTTGCTGAGGCGCGACTTGTCGAGGTCGCGCAAAAAGGGCACGCCGCCGTCGCCGTTGCGCAGGTTGGTCGGGCGGACGGTGCGCCAGCCCGTGTAGTAGGTGGCCTGGGGGTGCGGCCACTCGGGGCCCGAGTGCAGGAACTGGAACGAGTAGTAGTAGAAGCGCGAGGCCAGCGTCAGGCGGCGCGGGAAGCTGCACGTCCGCAGCAGGAACAGCGACTCGGGGCGCGGGATCTCGTCGACGTCGGCCACGAGGATGACGTCGCCGTACACGGGGGCGGCGCGGCCGGCCAGCCGGGGGAAGACTTGGTCGTACATGGCGTCGCGCTGCAGGTCTTCGTAGTCCCAGGGCCGCTTGGGGTCGAAGTCGGCCGGGAAGTCGAGCTGGTGGTAGACCATCTTGTCGTGGAAGCGGCGGAAGCGCTCCCAGCTGGCCAGCACCGTCAGCGGCTTGTCGTTGCCCTGGAAGGTCTTGGGCGACTCGACAATGACAAAGTAGTCGACGTGGTCGTAGAGGGTCTCGAGGCGGATCTCCATCCAGTCCAGCTCGGTGTTGACCATGAAGAGGTCGTAGATCTTGCGCTCGCCCGACCGCGACCGGGGCGCGAAGACGGTGTAGCCGTGGGCGTCGCAAAAGGCGCGGGCCTGGGGCGAGGCGTAGTAGTCGCGCGCGGAGGAGGAGAAGTTGAGGTGCGAGGGCAGCTCTTGGCCCAGGACGAGGTCGAGGTTGGAGATGCGGCGAAGCTCGGGGTGCGAGGCGAGGAGAGGCTGGCCGAGGAGCCAGTAGGAGAGGCCGAGGAGGCCGGCGACGAAGACGAGAGAAGTAACCCGGGAGGCCATGATGATTGCGGTTGTCGCTATCTCATCTCATTGCCAGAGGGAGTTGTTGAAGAGAGAGAGAGAGAGAGAGAGAGAGATGGAGAGGAGCTGTTGAAGAGCGAGAGTTGTCGGAGAGAGAGAGAGATTGTGATGAGCTGCGCAGGATCTCTCGGAATAACGATGGGCAGAAAAAACGCCTCGCACAGGGATCGACGCGTAGAGGGAAAAGCGCCGTGCAGCAGATTCTCGGATCATCACCACACTTTTGCAGTCAGAATCCCGGCCGGGAAACAAGGGTCCCTTCTCTTCTGCTGTCGCCCTTTTTCTAGTCCGTCAATTGATTCGCACGAGTGATACGAGCAAAGCTACGACACAAACGGCGTTGGCCGTCAGCAGCGCAGAGGGTCCCCCCCCATGGTATGTAAGTAGATGGTGCCTGGCTTTAGTGTAGCGTAGTGTCACGGCACGAGTACCCGCAAGCGCAAGTGTTGGATTATTGGTAGCAGTGGTGTCAGATTCATTGCGACGCTGGAGATTGGAGGCAAGGGGATGAACAGTTGGTGAGAGAGAAGCTGGTCAGAAAACAGAGATGGGGGAGAGATGGAGGTTTGTGAATTGGGCACACGAGGCCTTATAAGGAGGGTGTTGATGCGCTGGAAAGGGGGAGTTGATGGGTTCAATGCCAAGAAGCCGCTCTTCTTGCTGCGGTGCGACACGGGCGCTGAAGAAATGACCGGCAGGGGGGTTGGTTTGGGTGGTTTATAGTGGACGTGTATTTCATTTACAAGCTGCTCAGTTGGGAGATGGAATTCAATAAAGGCATTGACATTGATGCTGGAGGAAACAAGTTGAAGTATGCCTTTTTTTTTTTAAAAAAAAAAGTAGATGATTGGATATCGAAACAGTGTGGATGATGCTGCATACAGGAAGATGATGAAGCTGTAATTGGTGCTCCAACCTGTGATGATTTGTATGGGCAGCTTGGATAAGAGCGAATGACTAGCTTCCATTCACAGTCACTCTTGTGCTACCCAGACAAACAGATGCAATTATGAGGCGATGAGGCATGGATTGGTCTTAAACTCGCCAATGGATCCGGTCGTGCAACCACTGCATTTAACCGCCAGATTAAAGAGGCAGAGGCGAGTGTACATGATTGCTGCGTTGCCCTTGTGCCCTTAGACCAGCAGTTTGGGCCACCAGCCACCGAGTTGTAGCCACAGTATGTACATGTAATCAACTATAGTGCTGATGATGACAATCGTGAGACCAAGAGTCACAGCAGTCAAACCAGTACTATCCTCATCCTTGTCCTATCCTTCTAGAAGCAACCAAAACTTAACAACAAAAGGGCGTCCGCAATTCCCACGGAGGGCGCAACATCGACATGTCCCGGCCCCCCGGAGCCGGAGCGGAGCGGCTCATTGTTTAGCCCCTCCACAAACCGCCCCTCGAGCCCCTCCACTGCTTGGAGGATCCTCGAGTTCAATTTATAGATAAAAAAACCACTGCGGTTCAATGAGGGGCTCGCTGTCTTTTCTGCATCTCGCCTCGGCGTCAAGCTCGCGAGCTTTTGTATATAAACAGGCCGGGCACGTCTTGAGACGCCAGTCGCCGTTGCTGACCAGACGGCATCTTTCCACCAGCCGCATCACAAACAGCGCATCAACGGCCATGGGAAGCGAGAGAGGAAGCGCCTGGGTGGGCGTCAAGGGCGCTGGATCGCTAGACTTACGAAGTGAGAGCTGAATCATTGACATCTGACCATGATCAGCCTGCTAATCATTGATCCTTGACCCGTAGGCGATGTCATGACCGTCCCCACGCCGTCCATGCTGGCGGCCGTCTCCTACTGCACCCTTGGAGACGACGTCTTTGGAGAGGATCCCACTACGCAGGATCTCGAGGCTCACGTTGCCAAGCTGGCCGGCAAGGAGGCCGGTCTGTTTGTCCTGTCGGGCACAATGGGCAACCAGGTGGCATTGCGAAGCCTCTTGGTCCAGCCTCCTCACGGCGTCCTGGCAGATCATCGCTCCCACATTATTCTCTATGAGGCTGGAGGGTTAGTTATCTTCCTTCATTCTCTCCTCCTCGATTTCGCTCCTATTGTTTCAGTCAATCGTTAACATCCATCTAAACAGCGTCTCTTTCCTGACTGGCGCCACCGTCAAGCCCGTCGTCCCCAAGAACGGCATCCATCTCACCCTCGAGGACATCAAGGCCAACGCCATCATCAGCGACAACGTCCACGACTGTCCCACCCGCGTCATCAGCCTCGAAAACACCCTCAACGGCATGGTCATGCCCCTGAGCGAGGTCGAGCGCATCTCCCGGTTTGCCCGCGAAAACGGCATCAAGATGCACTGCGACGGCGCCCGCCTCTGGGAGGCCGTCGTGTCCGGCGCGGGCTCCCTGGACGAGTTTTGCGCGCAGTTTGACACGGTGAGCTTGTGCTTCTCCAAGGGGCTGGGGGCGCCCGTCGGCAGCATCATTGTTGGAGACAAGACGACGCTGGATCACGCTCGTTGGACGCGCAAGTCGATTGGAGGTGGCATGAGGCAGCCGGGCTTCATCACAGCCGTGGCCAGGGTCGCTGTGGATGAGACGTTCGGTACCAATCCTAGTGGTAGTGACGGCTTGCTGAAGCAGAGTCACGAGATGGCCAAGAGGGTGGAGGCGCTGTGGACGGGTATGGGCGGGAAGCTGGTGCACCCGGTTCACACGAATATGGCGTGGGTGGATATTGAAGCGGCCGGGTGCAGCTTGGAGAGGTTTAAGGAGCTGAGTGAGGCGGAGGGATTGAAGGTGAGTGGTGGACGGTTGGTGACGCACTATCAGATTGCGCAGAATGGCGACGAGGTGCTTGAGCGGTTGGAGAGGGTGTTTAAGAAGGTGTTTGCTTAGGGGGGATGAGTTGGCGTGTATACACTGTTGTTTTTATGAGTAAATACACACCTATATACATACCATGAACGACCTGATGCTTATACTACCAGAGCATGGCATTCATCCATCCATTCATTCATTGATACTCTGAGGCAACGTAAGCCTCTAACTCATAGCTTCGGTCAATCACACGCCGCATGTCACCAATTGCCACCGATCATCGCATCCCATGAGTCCACCCAAACCTGTCCTCGTTTCCCTCACAACTTAGTTCTAGTTTCTTGGACCAAACGACACTACGGCCTGTTTACCCCAAGGCGGATACTCCGAAGGTGGTGACAAAAGTGAGCGGTTGACTTTTCCTGCCGCCAATGATCTTATGAATTTCCCGTGCCCGTCGAAGTCTGATGGGCCAACGGAAAGCGTTGGATGACCCAAATGGTGCCGCCACGTTTGGGGGGACGGGATTTCGGGTGGGTGATGGTTTGTTGGTGCTTTTTGACGTCATGCGGTTTTGAAGTTGTTCGATGGAAGCATGGGAGAAGCCTAGATGGGATGGTGAAGATGATACGGCTTTGTCTTTTTTTCATCAATTGCTTCTTTGGAGGCACTTGAATCAATGGATTCTCCATGTTGAGGGGAACTTGATACAACATGAGAGCATTGTAACAATACAGCGTCTCTTACATACAGACTCTGTCCGCACATGAACTCCCGCGTCATACGCCAGCTGCTGAAATAAGCATCATCAGAATAAAGAATAGGTGCATACGATGGCGCGTGCGGGGGCTGAACTAGTGCTCAAGGCGTTGGAGATGCCGTGGAGAAGCGTCGTGGGGGGTTTGAGCTGGCATCTGCATGTCTCACGTCCCTCAATCTCTTTATACTCGACTGAGAGTGTTAAATATTGGTTTCAGAGGGGAGGTTTAAAGACATTATGTTAAACTACAGGCATAACATAAGTATACATCCTCAAAGAGTATCCATTTTATATGTAATTGTCAACAGGCCTTTGCCTCGTCTTTGATCAAAATCATTTGCATAAGTGACAACTCCAAAAGCCTCATACGACATACCAAGCCACCACACCCCAAGCATCACAATAGCTCCCCCCCGCAAACCGTCAACCACGGCAAAACCAAGTGCCAAGTTGGAGGGCAGACCAAAGACTTGGATTGGGCCATGATGATGCCAAGAGTCATGTACTTTACTCTGCTTATATCGATGTAACCAACCTTTTCACCTATACGATGGGTGGTGAATTCCATCATCTTATAAATATCCCCGCGTAGTCCCGCGTCTGTCGTTTTGTGCCAATCCCTCCCCGATGAGAAGCATCCGCTGGGCACAAGTTCAAAATGCCTGCACTCCAGTCCCTCGTAGCCGCCTTCCTGGCGACAACTCTCTCCGTCTATGTGCATGCTCTCTTCATCAATGGCTCCGTCATCGCCCCGTGCGACTCGCCCATCTACTGCCATGGCGACATCCTCCGCGAAATCGAGCTGGCCCATCCCTTTTCCGACTCCAAGACCTTTGTAGACATGTAAGAAACTCATAAAACCCCATTTGAAAACAACCCGTCAGAAGGCTCACATGTAATACCAGGCCCGCAAAGCGACCCCTTTCAGAAATCCAGGCCGCCTTCAACAATCTCACAAAACCCCTAACAAACGACTCCTCCCTCCAAACATTCCTGTCAACCTACTTCGCCGACGCCGGCGGCGAACTCGTCGAAGTGCCCCGGGCCAGCCTCGCTACCGACCCCGTCTTCCTCTCCAAAATCAACGACACCGTCATCAGGCAGTTCGTCTCCAAAGTCATCGCCATCTGGCCCGACCTCACGCGTCGCTACTCCGGCAGCGCCGTGTCCAACTGCACTTCCTGCCCGAACAGCTTCATCCCCGTGAACCGCACGTTTGTCGTTGCGGGGGGGCGCTTTCGGGAGCCGTATTACTGGGACTCGTACTGGATTATTGAGGGCTTGCTGCGTACGGGAGGGGCGTTTGTGGGGATTGCGAAAAATACGATTGAGAACTTTTGTGACTTTGTTGAGAGGTTTGGGTTTGTGCCGAATGGAGCGAGGTTGTATTACTTGAACCGTTCGCAGCCGCCGTTGTTGTCGCGCATGGTTCGGATTTACATTGAGCATACGAATGACACGAGCATCTTGAGGAGAGCCCTGCCACTGCTGGTGAGGGAGCACGAGTTTTGGACGAAGAACAGGACGGTCAATGTGGACGTCGGCAATAAGACGTACGTCCTGCAACAATATGCTGTGGAAAACACTCAGCCGCGGCCAGAGTCCTTCCGCGAAGACTACATCACTGCCAACAACCGCTCCTATTACGCGGCATCAGGCATCATCTATCCGGAAACGAAGCATCTAAACACGTCTCAGATGCAGGATTTATACGCAAATCTCGCTTCCGGCGCGGAGAGCGGCCACGACTACACCTCGCGGTGGCTGGCCAACCCGGCCGACGCAATGAGAGACGTCTATTTCCCGCTCCGGTCCCTCAACAACAAGGAAATCGTCCCCGTCGATCTCAACTCGATTCTCTACGGCAACGAGCTGGCCATATCCCGCTTCTACAGCCAGACCGGCAACAGAACAGCCGCCCGCACTTGGGGCGCCCTCGCCGCAAACCGCAGCGCCTCCATCCAGGCCGTCTTCTGGAACGAGACTCTCTTCAGCTACTTTGACTACAACCTCACCTCTTCATCCCAAAACATCTACGTGCCCCTAGACAAAGACGCCCTCGCCGTTGACAGACGCACAGCTCCCCCCGGCAAGCAAGTCTTGTTCCACGTCGGCCAGTTCTACCCCCTGTGGACAGGCGCCGCGCCCGACTACCTCAAGAACAATCCATACGCAGTAACCCGCATCTTCGACCGCGTGTCAAGCTATCTAGACACTCGTCCCGGCGGCATCCCCGCCAGCAACGTCAACACGGGCCAGCAATGGGACCAGCCCAACGTCTGGCCGCCGCACATGCACATCCTCATGGAAAGCCTCAACAACGTCCCCGCAACCTTCACCGCGCGCGATCCCGCGTATCAAGACGTCAAACAGCTCGCTCTACGACTCGGGCAGCGGTACCTCGACTTTACCTTTTGCACGTGGCGTGCCACGGGCGGCTCCACGTCTGAGACGCCCAAGCTGCAAGGGTTGACCGATCAGGATGTGGGCATCATGTTTGAAAAGTACGATGACAACTCGACTAATGCTGCTGGAGGGGGCGGCGAGTACGAGGTTGTTGAGGGCTTTGGATGGACTAATGGTGTCCTGTTGTGGGCGGCGGATACGTTTGGGAACCGGCTCAAGAGGCCGCAGTGTGGAAACATCACGGCGGGCCATCCGGCGCCTTCGCCGTCGTCTTCGAAGAGAAGCGCGGTGCAGCTAGATTTGTGGGATGCGAGCAGGATCAAGAAGTTTGGGAAGAGGGCGGAGGGGACGGTGAGGAGGTCGAATGTTTTTTGAGTTGAAAGCCGTATATGTTATGATTATAATCAATACTAGTCTGCATTCATGTTGAATAAGTATTTCAATACAACAAAGAACAGGTGTATGACTTAAATAATTGTACAATAAATTTGTATCTCATATTGCGTACTTACTTGTGTGTAGAGAACATGATACCCCCTTGTAGGTAAGGCAGGTCCATGAAATAGAGAAACTCGAGTCCACTTCTCGCAATTAGACACCATATATGGCTTCACACGTATGACACTTTTCACAATCCCGGTGTCATCACCACTTCCATGATCAATCTCTTCTCTGTGAAAATAGGAGGTCTAATCCAAAGCCGTGTGTGTCTTATGGTAGATCTTGGATGGCGACGACTTCCATTGAGAGAACCCGGCCATCTGCAATTTTCGACAGAGGTGCTCGATTGCAGGAAGTTCTCGCCAGAGCTCCAGATTATCTACGCCACCAAGTCGGCAAGATCAAGAACCCGTGTGAAGAGTGAAAGGGCTATTCCACTCGGACCCGGGTGGCGAGAATTCAGCTCACCGAGTGACATGTAGTCCGAAAAAATCCGTCGTAAGATGAATGTGTGATGCGTATTTGTGACCAAAACATCTACTTGCCACAACATGGCAAACATAACCTTCCAGCTCCCAATCTCTGTATAGGTATATCTGTAAAGAGAGCACGCAATAGCAGAGAAATATAGCAGAATAGCAGAAAGTAGTGATAGCAGCAGATACTCAAGGAACCGTGTATCCCCTACCTGAATGAGCATCTATAGCTGTAGATTAAAGGCTTTCCTTCGCATCCTGACCCAGCACTTAAACCTCACGCAGTCGCTGGGCCGCCGAATAGCAAACATTTTGCTGTGCGCATGGTGTAAGCTCCCATAGCCTAATGGGCCGCACATGTAAGAAGGAGTGTCGTTGATTAGACCCCGAGATGAGAGTGAAATAAGTGAAAAAAAGAAGAAGAAATTGTTGAATAAATAACTAAAGCAATATCGTATCGTCATGTCTGTTTTCATCGGCATCCATAGCTGTCATTTTCTAAAGCATCCATCCATCAACCCAATAAATTCGTGTGCTATTCGTCCATCGCATTAATTAAACCTCATCACGTCGTAAAAACCCCCAATAAATCTTCCTCCACATGAGCCACAAGAAAAAGAAAAGAAAAGAAAAGAAAAACCGCTCTCCCAGGCCAGATAAATGTAATCTCAGTCCCGTAACACCGATTATTGCATCTGATCGCTGTCCATATCCGACTCTGATCTTGGCTGATCTGTAAACTGAAGCCACTCCTCAAATCCGTCAATGCTCTCGTACTGTGGGAAGCTCTCCTGCACCTCTTCTTCTCCCTCAGGATACAGCACCATCATGTTACGTATGCTTTCCTGCTCATTAGCGGGCAATCGCCGTCTCATGTAGCAGAAATAAACGTAGAGTACCTGGCAGAGGTGCTTGAGGCGGCTCCTAGAAGCGCCATCTCTACCATCATCAACATTCGATTCAGGCTCGGGCGATGTGGAAGGGGATACACTTTCCCAATGGCAAGTCCACAGGGTTAAGCGGCGGCGGAGAGACATAAGTGTGTGGCCAACATCGAGGACCAATTCATGGCAGATGCGAGGGTTGGCAAGGTCCCTTTTGAGTTGGTCGTAGAATTCGAGCTCTATCTTACGCCCTATTATTCGTGACAACTGGGCTGCAGCGATGATAACCTGTCTTTGGTATGGATCATCTGGAGCAAGGATTGTCTCGAATTCATCATCTATCGGCCCACGGAGATTGTTTGGCGTTGATCTTAGAGTGTATGTGTTCCAAGGAGCCATGTCATCCAACGCGAGGAGCGCATCGCACAGTTTTGCTCTGTTCAACGGCCGACCGTAGCCATCTCGAATGCATGTTTTCCACGTATCCTGTTTTTGAACCTTGAGTCCATGGATGAATTGTCGGAAGGGATGCACTGTAGGGGAGCAGTTGGAGTTGATATAGATCCAACAGGCGTGGAGGTCAAGCTCGCAGAGTATTCCCTGTCTTCCATATACGCGGATCGTGTGGTGACTTTTTCGTAGTTCGTCCATGATGTGGAGTAATTGCCTTACATGTATTTCTGAAGGCAGCTCAATTGGTTCGCGGAAGCCGTTGGCGGAGAGAGGATAGATAATGTGGAGTGCTATCATGAGGGCCTTTGTTAGTAGAAGCTGGGAATTTATTCCTGCACAGGATGCCTCTTACCAAGTAAGACGGTGCTACCTTGTTGAACAAGGTCAATGAAACTCGCAGGCACACATACAAACGGCTTGAGGGCATTACCACTGCTACTAGAGCACCGCGAGCAGGCCTTCCCATCTTCTCGAAAATCACACTGATGAGAAAGGAGCATGTTAGTTACACGCTGTACAACGGAATGGGCAGGTGGGTTAAGTGGATGTGTATGTAGAGAGGTCGACGGGAGCCAAGGTTCTGATGGCTCCGAGGCATTCACTTGGTTCATGACTTACCAAAACTTTGGCCATCTTACAGCCGATGCATACGGTCCGCTCGTTTCTCCTTTTGGTTGCGAGCTGCCGTCCCCCCTCATGCAAAGGCCCGGTGCGTTTCCCGCGGGGCTTCTTTGGCATTGGCTTTCCAGCAACCATACTTACACCACCTCCATCAGCCACCGCATGTGGTCGAGGTTTGGGAAGCAAATGGACTTGTCCATTTGACGGACGCCTCTTTGATATTCCGGCATTCTGGGACCGATCCTGGGAATGGGCTCCACGGTTTCCAAAGGGATGAGGATCCGGATCTAAAATACGATGGGGCCGTGTTATACTTGCAGCCCGACGCTTGCCTTTGCCTTTACCCCGAGAGACAGTACTGGAGTTAGTCTCCGATGAGGGATACTCAGTGCTTGGATCGACACTTGGCGATTGTTGCCAAACACTGGGTGGAAAGGAGAATTCAGCACTTCCGATGGCCTGGATATCTGTCTGAGTCTTGACGTCATGTATCAAGTGGTTTGACTTTCCATAAAAGCCTTCCTGAGCATATTCTGGAATGTTCGGCATGGGCATGTTAGCCATTGCATCCTTCCCGTCGCTAGGATTGGAGGTAGTGATTGAGAGAGCACCATCCTGAGAGGATTGGTTAGAATAGACGCTTGGGCTGGGTTGGCTGTAGCTCATGGTATGATATAGCTGCCCTGGAGAGAAGGCAGGCTGTGCGGCTGGGATGCTTGATAAACCATCGGTTACAAAGGTATGCGATGATCCAGGCAAAGGAAGTGGATCTGAAAGTAAACCTCTTGGAAGGAAAGGTATAGACTTCTTGTCAAGATACGGGACATCACGGTGAAGTTCTTGACCCGTGTGCTCATGACCGTGTGGGGGTCCATATTGTGTTGATATGCGTGTTTCTGTTCCATACTGCGGCCGACGGCTGTGGCCTAGGCTGTACCCTTGATGAGAGGAGCTGAAAGCCCGGTCATCGTTATTGGCTGCACAGGGCTGCTGTCGAGGCCAATCAGAAGAAGAGTCAACTGGGCTGGAAACACCAAGAAAAGAGGAGTTCAATGCAGGCTGCGGGCTGCGCACATTGTTTCTCCGAAGACGATGATTTTGAACAGCAACTAGTAGATTTGATCTAGCAGCTTCGGACGAGCTTGTGCTACCAGATGTCGCAGAATATTTGTGGATGTCGTCGACGGCGGCTACGAAAGAGCTGCGTTTGAGAGTAAGTTAGCCGTGGCAATAATAGGATGCATACATGTACCGATAACATTGAATCGCCACCAGCTAGTCAGTGCTTACCCATAAGAAATGTCGTTCGAGGTCGCTTCAAGCATCTTGTTTCCTCCGGTAAAAGAAGTAAGCAGCTGCGATTGTGAATTTGCAGACATATTTTGGTGAAAAGACTGTCGGAAGGCCATGATTGATTCAAGCTCCCATGTGGCTCTTCTTATCGTGAATAGAAAAAAAAGGAACGAAAGAAGATAGAACTGGCCAGAGTTTTTAACTGCGTTGCTGCAGCAGTAAAAAGGTTGAGGGCGTGTATCCACACAAACCCATGCTGCTGCCAGAGCCTCGCCATCTGTTTATTTGGTGTGGTCGAGTGGTGCCCAGTGTGTTTGCCTGACTCTTCGGTGAACCAGTACCACGCCTTATTTCCCATTGCACCTCCATCATTACCTGCATGGCCTTCAAGGTCCCCCCGTACACCTACTATACACCCCCATCAGGAACATGGCCTCCACTCAGAGGCTCTGCGAGATGACATGGACAGGTGAATGCCAGGGCAAAATGCAGGTCCCTTCTGACGATGGCCATTGATGCTGTTTGAGCGTTTCCACTGAATTGCGACGATACAGAAATAGCCAACAGCCACGGGAGACCCGAGAAACAGTATCACCGCTGTCAGTCTCTGTTTCGTTCAATATCATCATGCGGCTCTGCGCGGTTCCGCAAGTTTTCTGCATCTGTGACTGGTTGGGTTGCCAGCCCAACCCAGCCCGCAGAACCAAGGCGTAACCAGGCGCCGAAGCTTAATTGCGCGCAACTTTCCATTTTCCTCATTCTTTTGTATTGATTGAAGAACCCCCTGGGTGTGGTTTGTTTCGATATATGATCCCTGTAGACCGCCTACCACCGGGCTTTTTAGTCCTTGTGGGCTGCCTTGTTTCGCCTTTTTTTTTCCTTTGCGCGGGGTGTGGTGTCGCGTATCATTGCCCGCCCGGTACTCTGCAGGGGGGGAAAGCTTTGCCGGGTCTGAGGCGCAACCCAGGAATTGTTGTCAATGGGATGCGACGTCTTTGATGTTGTTATGTTGCTTGCTGGATGGCTTAGCCAGCGCTGAGAGATAGACATGGAGCTGATGCACAGCCAGAAGAGCGGTGGAAGAAGGGAAAATCCCATGATAATCATAAACTGCCTTGAGGTACTTCAAAAAGGCAACGATGTCCATTGCTGACCTAGGTACCGTATCCGTTGACCAGTGTAAGTGCGCTGGCATGCAGTAATGCCTATGCTTGCGGCGCAATCAGTGAGCTGAATCAAGGTGTGGCACCGGAACGGGCGCGTAATGGCCCATTTTCGACTGTCCACTCTCTGGCGAGGGGAGCTTGCATCCCCGCCAGCAAGTCTCATCGCAAGGCTGTGAGCTGCAGCTTCGGTCGCCACCGGCGTTCAAGAAGGGACGGAGCACGGAAGACGAGTGGGCTCCTTGCATTCGACCGAAAATGACATCTGTTAGCCGAGACTTATAACTGACATTACGTACCAAACAGTGCATACCGGAGTTGGGCGGCGCTGGTGATGTGAGCAAAAAAAAGGAGGGGGGAGGTTGAGGGCATCCCCAAGACTCTTGGCTTTGCGGAAACAAACTCCTTCCCGCGTGTAAGAGGTGTCGAATACGGCCCGGCTACGCACATTGATGGAAAATTGAATGATTCAGGTGATCAAAGGCTGAATATTTTTGGTGCATGAGCAGAAGGAATTGGCATCGGCACGGCCGAAGTTGTAAATGCCTCGTGGTTGTATGGATTGCGACATGACTCGATTGTGTCGTTTGTCGGAAAGCAACCGAGACTATTCCATAGGATGTGCATCAACCTTGTCTGTCATGCCTTTTTTCCCCGTAGTTTTTGACAGCCCGGAGTAGTCGCTATCAGTTTAGAACTCAGTATAAGTCGACGGATCGCCACGGGAGGTGGAGAGCCCGGGGACGGGAGCGGGAATCGTGGGTCCGGTCGTTTTAGGCCGACGAAGCTGATAGCGACGAGCCGAAGCGGATGCCGAGTTGAAAGAGAAAACTTCCATTCATGGAAACTCCCTATGATGGAGAAGTGGATCAAAGGATCTCGTCCTTCTCAGCTGGTCAAGGGTTGCTGCCAAGTTCTTTTGTTCTTTTGTTCCGTGCCTCGGCAACGGTTTCTCCAAACTGAGCTTAGCAGGCTCGCTCCAACAGCCGGGAGGAAGAGGGATGCGACATTTTGGGAGCATCTCGATGCCCAAACGGTCATTCGCAACCGTTGCCGAATCGAGATTGTGTCGTTTTGTCGATTAATAGCGTCATTGCCGTGTTGCGATAGCTCGTCGGTGAAGCCAGAATAGTATAGCATAGGTGTGGACAAGACGAAGAGAGCTGGGGGCCAGACTATAAAGGCAGTTCCGCCATGAGCATTAGTCCTTTGCAGTCTATGCCGCGGAAGCCGGTGTGTTGTGGTGAAAAGTCATGGCTATTATACAAAAGTTGCTTGGGTCCAGAACTTGGCAATGACTCGGTCCATCTTGACATTTAGTCATGACCTCCCAGGTCACCAGGCATCCCACTGGTGAAGCTGCTACAACTGTAGCTCTCACAGCAATTCTATAAGAGTCTCGCATCCTCATGGTGTCCATACATACCTCGTCTCCAAACAAGGGACAAGTCCAGACAAATTGGTTCTCCTCTGAGATGCTCTGAAAGTACCGGCAGCCTAAAAGCTCACAATCCCATTGGACGAACGAATGTCTTTGGACTGGACTTGTTGTGAAAAGAGATCCCCAAAGAGGATGTGGCGTTGGCAGCGGGTTGGTATCGGTGGTGCGTCCCACTGTCGGCTGCGTATCGCTTTGCAGGGATATGTGGATGCGTGGCTGCGCCTCAAAACCTGAGATGTAAAGCTGCCTAGAGAGAGGAAGAGGATAAGGGCATTACGCCTCTGAATGCGACTGCGCCAGACGAGGCTGGAGGTGAACGAAATTGCCGCTGGTGATGGATGTTTCTTGCAAGTTGTTTGTGCGTGTAGTCGTAGGTTGATATGAGGTGGTCAAAGTTGGTACCTCAGGCGTTGAATTTGGTACGTCCGTCCAGTGTTAGTGTAGGGTAAGTGCTGCCACCAAAACCGCCGTGCTGGATGCATCCTCAAGGAGAATTTCCATGTACCCGCCCAAGTATTAAATGCCCCGAGGGCGGTACCCCGTAATCTGTAAGGTACGGATTAGAGCCCGTGTGTCTGGCCTGATGAATCTCTCTTTGGTTAGTACCTGTCTACGAGGCCGCTACTTGTGAGGTAGACTGTATGCAACATGACTCTTGGCTGTTGATACAATGATGCACGGCCCTACACGTGCCTCCTGGCTTACCTGTACTGCAGTAAGGGAACAGTAGGGCTATAGCGGTGTGATACTAGATAGGTAGGTACCTGTATGTTGTGTTTTAAGCACCGCAGCAGGCAAGGTACCACTCTATCTCCAAGCAAGGCAAGCAAGCAGGATGAGGCGATTTGCGCATACCAGACTTAGTTAGACCATGGCTACGACATCTCGCATGGAATCCTCCTCGCTTGACGACTCTTGAGTAAAAAAATCAGGAAAATTGAAGGGAGAAAAAAAGTCTCTACTGCTGTTCAACACACCAAATGCGAGCAATACGGTGGTTGGCTGCGCCCCCTGCAGCAGGATCGCTCCTGGGTCGCGGCGCTACCGCTGGGATTGCGCTGGGATTGAACGGATTGGGCTCTATGGCGCGATCGGCCGCTTTAGAGGCATTTTGCCTCAAGCCATGCCATCATCAATGAGGGGATTTGTGAGACGGGCAGTGATGGGAGATGCTCACGATGGCGGAAATGGCCATGATGCCGGCCTTGGTTAGAGCTTCTAGAACAAAGTATAAGTAGAGCTGGATTCACCTGGAGGACGAGCAGATATTGAATTCGACAAGTCTCAGATACTTTGAGCGGCTTCTATATTCCTGGTACGATTATCACTACAACGTCACAGGCGTCATAAAACACCAGAAAAGCCATCATGGTCTTTGGAAGAGATAAAGAGCCTAAGCAGCATGAGACGGCGGACATTCCCGATCATCTCACTGACTTGCACTGCTTCACTGAAACGGAGGGCGTCGTGACAACCAGTAAGCCAGCGATGTTAAAATAGCCCCTGTTATTGTGCTGCAATCAACAAAACACACATGCACAAGAGATTGCTAATGACATATTTCTTTCTTCCTACTTTGTCTATAGCCATGATGGATCTCCCTGGCTACCGCATCGAGCAAGTCCTCGGCACAGTCTACGGCATCACAGTGCGGTCGCGCAACATCGGCGCCAGCCTGGGCATGGTCATGAAGAGCATGGCCGGCGGAGAGCTTCGCTGGTTCACGTCCATGCTGTACTCGTGCCGCAACGACTCCATCAGCAGAGTAGTGGAGGAGTGCAAGAAGCGGGGAGGCAACGCCATCATCTGCCTGAGGTTCGATGCCGGTGATATGGGCGGCTTTGCCCAGACGGCGGCGTATGGAACGGCGTGCCGGGTGGTCAAGATTGACGATCCGAGCGTCCATGTGCCCCCTCAGCTGCAGGGCATGACACAGTAGCTGGAACGGGTAGAATCCCGCGCTAGGAGAGGCTGATGGCGGACAAATCATGGCCATCTGGGGGTTTGGTTGATTGTGAGTTGTGAGTTGTGAATTGTGAGCGTCAAAAGGTTGCGGTAGCCGAAGGTGGTGGGTGTGTACTATAAGCCAATAATCAGCCAATGTTGATGCTTCTATCCATGGCGCTTCCGGGGAAGCTGAATGATTGGACGATGATGCTATGAGACTTGATAGGTTGCTTGGCTCGCTAGATCTGTCTGCCTCATTGTTTCATGTATAGGTATGTTGATTACTTTTAGGTATCAATATTCATTCTACTCTGTTGATTGAGATAGCCCTGCTCTTACACCCCAGCTGTGCCTTGTATGCCATGCTCCGCGGCCAACACACACAGCTAGGCATCTTGAACAGAAAATACGCCGTACATAGAGATAGACTTAGAGAGGAGAGAGGCAGCTTACAGCTAAACAGGCCCAAGTAGCCGCAAAGGGCGTCTTGGGCGTCCTCGTATAAGCGGCTTTGGCAGCATCCAGACTCCACTTGGGCGGCGATCCATCTGTGCGGAGCCGCTAAGACTGACAAATGACAAGAAGGCGATGCAATTTGGACGCTTTGTTTTGCTGTGCCGATGCATCTGTCAGATTAGTGCTCCATATCTAATGGAGCGTGTATAACCGTGGACAGAGGCTGAATGAGACAGAGGCTGACCAGCACATCTTGCAGTGCAGTGCAGTGCAGTATAATCGGGTTAGGTACACACTCATCTTATTGATACCCTGATAAGCCTTATCGCGCCCGCTGACCAATCACGCAGCTCCAGCACTTACCTTACAGAGGCGACAATAAGCGTCCAACCTCTGAATAGCTACACCAACAACAACAACATTACCGGCAATTGACCGTCTGTCTGTCATTGCCTCTGCAGCTCTCGCCACATCTCGATCTCGATCGATCGTTATTCGCAGGTTTACGATGCTGCGTGGTCCAAGGCGTTATTCCATCTGACTGAGACGAGAACACGCAAGCAATCCCCCCTGAGGACCGCAGCCCCCTGCGAGCTTCGTCTCCAGTCACAGTCATAGTCATAGCCATGGCGCCCGAGAGATCCCCGTCGATGGATTCGCTCTCGTCCGTCTCGACGACCAGCATCGTCTTCGACCGAATACAGGAGGAGATGGAGAAGGGCAAAGTGCCGCGAAAGGCCCGCGCCAGGCTTGGATACACCGACGTGTACGCTGAGGATCCCCTCAAGGACGAAACCTCCGACGACGCCGAGACCGAGGCCTTCCTGGGTTCAACCGGCGCCGGCCTGCAGCGCCGGCCAATGGACAGGAAACTTCGCCGAATCCTCTGGATTGGCACCCTCGTCTTCGTTGCTGCCTGGTTTGCGTCGCTCGCCGTCTTCGTTTCTACCGGATCGTACAAGCACGCGAGCGATGTGGAACACGACCCAGACGCCGACTCTCGCGGCTCCGGCAAGCCTGTCACCTTGGAGCAGCTGTACGAACGTTACTGGTCGGCCAAGCAAAAGTCCATCAGCTGGATTGCAGGTCCTAATGGCGAAGACGGCCTGCTACTGGAGCGTGGAGCCTCCGGCAAGGATTATCTCGTCGTCGAGGACGTTCGGTCAGCTGTGGGAAACGAAACCGCTGCTGCTTTGGCGGAAGATGCGGATTCTCAGCTGGCCAAGTCTCGCACCCTTATGAAGAACGCGGAGTTCCAATACGATGGCCAGACCTACACGCCCCAATGGCTGGAACCTAGCCCGGACCAGAACAAGGTCTTGATTGGTGTTTCTCAGGAGAAGATCTGGAGACATTCCTTCACGGCCATCTACTTTGTTTTCGACGTGGAGACGCAAACCGCCGAGCCACTCATCCCATCGGATGCGAACGCTCGAGTTCAGCTCGCAGGCTGGAGCCCCAGGAGTGACTCAGTATCCTTTACCAGGGATAACAATCTCTATATCCGCCGCCTCACCGGCGACAATGAAATCACCCAGATCACAAAGGACGGCGGCCCAGAATACTTCTATGGAATCCCCGATTGGGTGTATGAAGAGGAGGTGTTTAGTGGAAACTCTGCAACCTGGTGGTCTGACGACGGAAAGTATCTGGCCTTTCTTCGAACCAACGAGACTGGCGTTCCCGAGTACCCTGTGCAGTTCTTCATCTCGCGCCCCAGTGGTCACCCTCCTCTCAGTGGCGAAGAATCCTACCCTGAGGTTCAGCAAATCAAGTATCCCAAGGCCGGTGCGCACAACCCTGTTGTAGACCTCCAGTTCTACGACGTTGCCCACGGCGATGTGTTTTCGGTCACAACTGGCGACGAGTTTCCCGACGATGATCGCATCATCAATAGTCTCATCTGGGCCGGCGACAATGTCCTCGTCAAGCAAACCAATCGCATCAGCGACCACCTCAAAGTCATTCTCATTGACGTCGGTAAGCGCCAGGGCAAGACAATCAATAGCATTGATGTCGACAAGATTGACGGTGGCTGGTTCGAGATCTCCCACTCCATGACCTACGTCCCCGCAGACCCCGACAACGGGCGACCAGAGGATGGGTATGTAGATACCGTCATCCATGATGGCTATGAGCATATCGGATACTTTACGCCGCTGAACAACTCTGAGCCTATCATGCTCACCTCCGGAGAGTGGGAAGTAGATGAAGCCCCCTCGGCCGTGGATCTCGTCAACAATCTCGTATACTTTGTAGCCACCAAGGAGTCGTCTATCCAGCGCCACGTGTATTCCGTGAAGCTTGACGGCTCTGATTTGCAGCCTTTCACAGACATTTCCGCCGAGGCCTATTACAGGGCCTCCTTTTCGTCAGGAGCAGGCTTCGCTCTGCTCTCGTACCGCGGACCCAAGATTCCATACCAGAAAGTCGTGTCTACCCCGTCCAACAGTATCTCGTACGATGTCATGGTCGAAGATAACGCCGAGCTCGCAGACCGTGCCAAGAGACACGAGCTCCCGGTTCTGAAATATGGAACACTTGATCTCGGTGATGGGATCGTCGTCAACTACCTCGAACGCCGTCCCCCGCACTTTGATCCCGGGAAGAAGTACCCCATTCTCTTCCAGCAGTACTCTGGACCCGGCTCCCAGCAAGTCACCAAGGCCTTCGGCGTCGATTTCCAGTCCTACGTCGCCTCCAACCTCGGCTACCTTGTCATCACCGTAGACCCCCGAGGCACGGGCTTCCTTGGCCGCAAACACAGAGTGCCAGTCCGCTCGCAGCTCGGTCTCCTCGAGGCGCACGACCACATCGCGGCCGCCCGCCACTTCGCTTCCCTTGACTACGTCGACGAGACGCGTCTCGCCATCTGGGGCTGGTCATATGGCGGCTTCACCACGCTAAAGACGCTCGAGCAGGACGCCGGCCGCACCTTTTCCTACGGCATGGCCGTGGCCCCCGTCACCGACTGGCGCTTCTACGACAGCATCTACACGGAGCGGTACATGCGCACCCCCCAGGACAACGACAGGGGCTACTCCCTCTCCAAGGTCTCCAACGCCACGGCCCTCGGCGAGAATAAGCGCTTCCTGCTCATGCACGGCGTCGCAGACGACAACGTGCACTTTCAGAACTCGCTCACACTCCTGGATAGCCTGGATTTGGCCGGCGTGGAAAACTACGACGTGCATGTTTTCCCCGACAGTGATCATGGCATTTACTTTCATGGCGCAAACCGCATTGTATATGACAGTATGTTTTTGTCCCGCTTCCCCCTTCATAACTCTCCCGTTTCTTCCCCCCCAATAACTTGAAACTGGACATGGCTAATATCTCCCCAATTTAGAGCTGAATAACTGGCTTATCAACGCCTTCAACGGGGAGTGGCTCAAGATCTCGCATCCCAAGCCCAACGGCAAGAAGGTCTAACTTTTTTGGTTCTTGTTGTTTGTGTTTTTTCGAGCATGGCGTAATGTAGCAGCAGCCTTTCTTGGACATTGGCATAATAGAGAACCTGTTTTGTATAAATCGTCCTGAAATTGATCCTTGGAGAGACATGTCTTTGACTGCGCGTGAGAGTATTTCCCCATCAGTATGGCAAAAATATTCATCTTCTCCTAGAAGTGCTTCTACCAGTATTGTAGGCATATGTCCCAAAGCAACCGCTTCGTAACAGGACCCGATATACAGATTACGCCATCACATATAAATGCAGTCAATCATCTCAGACATCGCAAAAATAAACAAGTAACAAAAATGGAATTGCCTATCATACACATTCCGCACCCTCACAAATTTCATTTCTGCGGCACTTCCCCCCCAAAACAAGCTGAAAAGGATCTTTTTTCTCCTCCGTTCTAACTGCAAAGGAAATAGTGAAAAAAAAAAACACAAAAGAGAGCTCGTGATTTACGAGACTCTGACTGAGCCCAAGATCCTTCGCCTCCTCCAGACAATGACCCTTTTTTTCTTTTAATCTCTAACCATCATTATTCTTGATGAAGGAGTAAAAAAAAAGATGCTCACATATCATCAATCCTATATTGCCCTTCCAACTATCCATATCTCGCTCGAACAACAGCTAGCTATGCCGCGGCGAAAAAGAAATGATTACGCATTACATTCTAATTGATAAACGTGATGCGTCTCGACCCAGCACCACACTGGCACACGCATCTAATAATTGTAGCCAGTGGGCTGTGGCGCAAAGCCATTAGGTTGGCCATAAGGAGCTGGAGGAGCGTTTCCACCAGGGCCGGCGGTGATCATGAGTCGCGCGCCACCCAGGATGGGCGTGTTATCCTCCGTCTTCTCGTGGTCCTTTTCCTTGGACTTGCGTGCCTCGTTGTCAGCCTTGAGCAGGGCCAGCTCCTTTGTCTGCTGAGCCAACATGTTGATCATGTAAGGCATGGTGAAGTCGTTGAGGCCATTGCGCCATGAGAGTTCAAGAACCAGATCGGGTCGGATGAGGTCATTGCAGGCATACAGCATGCCCGTGTAGCATTCGCGGTGACCAATATCAACAAACTAAAT